GGTGTGGCTCTGTGGTTCGGGTGCAGAAAAGCTTGGGCCAGGTCATCTCCAAAGGTCTGAGAGGGCAAAGTTAGAGGCCAAGTGCAGGGTCGGTAACAGCAGAAGGGGTGGGGAACATGCCTGTATGGCTTGGAGGCTGCATCCTAATTCCGGTATAGACAGAAAACTGAAGCCAGGGAGCAGCTGGACTGGAGCATCTGGCCCTGCCCAGTGCATTGGGTCTAAAGCTGTTTGAGTCACAGGCTGCTTTGCGAAGGTGATGCTACCCAGCATGACTCCCATAATTACCGAGGGGAGCGCTTCCCCAGTGGGGGTAAGACCCAGGCTATTCGAGGGTTCCAGTAGGTCCCAGAATCCACCCTGGTTCAGAGACCACCAAAGCCTCCGGTTTCTGAAACCCCTCGGCTGTGCCCCCAGCGTCGCAGCCCGGAGCAGGTGAATAGGTGGGGGAGCGCCGGTGGTCAAGAGCGAGTCCTGCTGCTCTCGGGCCCTGGCTCCTAGCTTCATCCCGGGAACCAAACCCCGCCCCTGCAAATGGGGAAACCGAGTCCCAGAGAACGGAGAGGGCTTGCCAAAGCTACGCTGTGAGTTGGCAACAACCAGGGGGCTCCTGCCTCCAGGCTCCTTTCCGCTCCACCTTCTGCGAGAAAGCGTGTATCGTGCGCTTTCAACCTCTTCATCTCTCGCAGTTTGGGAAACTTTTCCTGCCGCAAACGGGCGCAGCCCGAGCCGGTCCCACGCCTACCCAAGCAAGTAGGTCCCCACTCCCACCCAAACTCGGGGCCGAGCGGCGGCCGCACAGCGGGACCGGCTCGGCGGGCACCTGAGCGCACAGAGCGCCGGGGCGCGGAGCTCGCCGCGCGGGAGCCTAGCAGGGCCCGGAGTGCGCGTGGCTCTTCTCCCACGTTTACAGGTGCGGCGCCGCGGCCCACAGAGGAGGGCGCCCCGGCCAGGGCCACACGCGTCGAGCGAAGCGGAGCGGACCCCAGCCCCGGGCTCCCCAGCCCCGAGGCAACCCGAGGCGGCAGCTATTTATAGAGGGAGCCATGCTCAGTCCCTCTTGGCGGCGGCGGCGACAGCTGAATATTTTGCCCAGATATGGCTGGGGCCCCGGCGCGGGGGCAGGCAGCCCCGCGAGCGCGACCCCTGCCAGGGTGGGGGCTTACCGGGCCGTAGAGCCGCGGGGGCGGGCGCGGGCGCGGGCGGCGGGACGAGCGCGGGCGGCGGGCGGCGGGCGGCGGGCTGCGGGCGAGCGGAGCGCAGGGCTGGACGAGCTCCCGTGCGGCCGCGGGCGGGCGGGCGCTATGGGCTCCGGGGGTGGAAGCCAGGGGCGGGTCCGGCTCCGCGCTGTCACCGCGCCCCGCCCTCTCCCTCCTTATCTCTCCCTCCACTCGGGGGCGCCGGGGCTCAGCGCACGGTCCCGGGGTAGGGGAGCGACACCCGCGGTGGGCAGCGCTGGGCAGGGGCTTGGCCACCCTGAAGCTTGGCTCTACCGACAAGTGGGTGCGGGTCGCTCCTGAGTCTCGGCTTCCCCACCTGTACCAGAAGGAGTTAAAGTGATGGTAGAGTTGTCTAGAAAAAAGTGAGTGGATCCTCATTCCTGCGGGGTCAAGAAGGTTCTTGGACGGTGCAAAGCCAGCCAAACAGCTGCTGCACCTTTACCTTCTGTGCTTGATGCAACGACCCCTCCCATCTAACCGGCAGCCCAGCGAGGTCTGGTATGAGCCGAAGTTTTAATAATGATCATTTTGTGAACATGTAGTTACAACAGAGTCGAATGCATTGCCTCTATACTGAGAGAATGGAGTGTCCAAAATAATGCCATAAAAGAACCACAAAAAAGAAGTCCCACTTTCTTAAAAGGCTAATGTTTTCCAGAACAAACCACATAAACACAAACAAACGAAGTGTTTTAACTTTTAAAATGGCTCATAAAAAACAATTGTATGGACAGAAGGTAAGGTCTCTTTGGATTTTTATGGGAAACCTTCTGGTAGGGACAAATATTATCAGCTCTTTTAAATCCTGGGGTATTACTAATGAGAAACACGTGTTTTGTTTAGTTTTTAAATCTTGTTTTCCACTAAAATATGTTTCTACATTACAAACCCCTTAGAGCTGTAAGAGAATGCTCTTTTTAAAGGGTAGGTGCCATATATTTTAAAATAAAGCAATGATGTAACATTCCAGATTTTTTAAAAAGCCCTTTGTTGTGGAATCTAACATTTAAGAAAAGTGCGTACAACACAGGTGTGCAGTTTCAAGAATGGCTATCTCTGAGAACACCTGTTGCAACCACCACCCAGCCAAGAAACAACATTGCCAACAAACCCAGAAGCCAAGCTGTGCCCTTCCCATCACAACTCCCTCCTAAAGAGGGTTCCTTTCTTGACTCATGGTAATCACCTCCTTGCTTGCCTCTTTCCTCCACTTTGTCTTCATTTGCTCAACTCTATGTTGTGAAATTAATCTGTGTTGTTTCATGTGTCTGTAGTTTCCTCTTACTGGGAATATATACCCCCTTGTATACCACAGTTTTTAAGTATCCATCTTATAACGCTTAGGTTGTTCGCAGGTTCTACTATTACAAGTGGTGCAGCTGCGAACACTTTACTAGTATCCTTCTGCACAAGTGTAAATGTCAACAGCACCTTTAATTGACAAAAATGGAAAATTTTTCCCATTTCTGGTACATGAGTTGTGGTATCTCATTGAGGCTTGAATTTGCATTTCCCTGTGTTCTACTGGATTGAGTACTTTTTCAAGTTTACTGGCCAGAAGGATTTTCTCTTTTGTGAAGTGTTTGTTCAAAAGCATTGCCCATTTTGTTTCTTGAAAATATTCAATATATTTTCCCACTACATATATACAGGTGGGGCAAAAGTGGGTTTCCAGTTGTTTATATGGAAAATAATACAATACTTAATAAATTATAATACAAGAGTAAAATCCGTTTTTCATACGACTGTAAACCTACTTTGGCCTCATCTTGTATGTGTGCGTGTGTATGTGTGTATATTCCTTCACTCTGTTTTGCCTTTCTCCTTCATAATAATGCCTTTGATGAACAGATGTTCATTTTAACATAGTCTAGTCTGTCAACTTTTCCTTTATTGTTAGCACTTTTTGTGTTCTGTTTAAGACATCTTTCCTACTCCTGGATTATAAAGGTATTTTCCTGTTATCTTTCTACATTAGCCTTTCACACTTAGGCTTCAAATCCACCTGGAACTGACTTTGGAATATGGTATGAGGTAGAGGTTTCATTTGTTCATCTATCAAATTGTCCTAGCACCAGATTAATTTTTTCAGTTACATCAACAACACAATTAATTGCTTTACTTTACAAAGTAATGGAGCCTGGTCGGTGTGGCTTAGTGGTTGAGCATCAACCCCTGCACCAAGAGGTCGCTAGTTTGATTCCCAGCCGGAGCACATGCCCAGGTCTCAATACCATGCAGGAGGCAGCCAATCAATGTTGATATTTCTCTCATCAATGTTTCTGTCTCTCTCTCTCTCTCCCTCTCTCCCTTCCTCTCTCTCTAAAATCAATAAAAACATTTTTTAAAAAAAATAATGAAAACACTTATAAAGTCAGTGAAATAGAAACCACTTTTTCCTTATCTGTAGACAATTTGAGAATTTTTGTTTATATTTTTAGGGAAAGAAACCATTATAAAACAAACATTTACACTACTTTATTTCACTTAAACATTTATGTCAGACTTTTTTTTACTTTATCATAAATAATTATTTAAATCACTGGCATAAGCATTGCTGAATTTTGAATCACTTTAATTATAAATATTAAATATAAATTTAAAAAAGCTAGAAAGATAATTTTAAACTTTTACATGAAAACTTAAAACATCAGGTCTTGAACTTCCTTCTTTTCCCAGAATTTTCTCACACAAAAATAAGCAAACAACTTTAAGTGTTTTATCTTCAGCCTGGTCTTCTCCCTGAAATCCACTCCATATTTCCGATAGTTTGTGCCTGTCCTCACACAGAGGTCTATTAGCTGAAACTCAGAATGTTCAAAATCAAAACTGTAAGCTTCCCAGCCACGGTGAGTAAGGGTCGCAGTCCTAGTCTCTCAGACCTTAGACTTGGCATTACTCTTTGGCACTTCCTTTTCCTTATCTTCTGTGTCCAAGATGTCAGTTCTAATCATTCTAACCAAACACTTCAGAAAGCCTTTAATATTTTTCCTTTAGTTCCATTGCTCCACTTTAGTCCAGGGCCTCCCCTGCCCATCTTTAGGCCACTAACCTATCCCTCTGTCAGTCCATCCTGCCCATTCATTTGCAAGCACATACCATTATATGTGCCTGATATAGGCAAAATATCATTCTGTCTGCTGTGGAGGACACCGACAGTGGTGTGCTGGAGTCTGGTGTATGGGTGTGCAAGAGCTGGGTGTGCACCTCCTCCCAACTCCACATTAGTGGTGCCATAGTGTTAGCTGGAACTGAACAGTGGAAGGAGTATTTACAACATGGGAATCATCAGACTCTGCAGATCAAGGCTCAGCCCTCGCGCCTCCCCCCCCCCCCTAGTTGAACCAGTTGTCAAACATTTACTAGTACATCACTGGATAGTTTGGAGGGGGGCAAGCCCTGCTCGAGAATACCAGTAACCTTGGATGAACATACATGGGGTTCAGATAAAGGTCCAATGTGACTGGCACAGGGAATGGTGGACCATGAGGTTGGGTAGAGAGATTGTAGAAGGCCTGGGTCTTCAGTCTGGACTCCCTGAGCAACGAGAAGCCGCTCAAGATTTGGGGGAGGGGCACACTGGCACCACTAGCAGTGCTGATGTGCTAGACTCGGGATAGTCTTTACATGGTCTGGTGACTCTGGGACGCAGAACTGCACACCATGGTAGAGTTAAGTCACAAACTGGAGAAGAACCCAGCACCGCAAGGAAGCCAACATGAATAGAAAGGGAACTCTTCATCTTAAGATCATAAAGCCTAGAAATTATGAGGTAGCCAGTTTGTATACTGATAAACATTTTAATCTAATAGTATAGTAATAATTCAAGTGCAATTTTCTTTGAAAAGTCAACTCTGTTAAACACAACTTATTAAATAGTTTTCTTCAAACATAACATATTCTTTTCAATCCCCACAGCAGTCAGAGCCAGGTAGCAGAGATAATATATTTTTTTAAGCCTACTACATTTTTTTATTGCTAGAAATCTGAATTAGTTGTCAAGGTCTCAGAGCACTGATTAATGAACTTTCGAAAACTCTACCAGATATTCTGACATAAAATCGTGAATCCAGATATCTGTGTCTGGCAGGGATGTGTCCACTAAATAGACCACTACTTTCTGGTCCCAAGGGTTAGCATTCTCTATCACTGTCTGCACCAATGCCACCAGAGGTTTCTTCTCCACGTGATTTCGAAACACCATGGACGCCTCCTCAGACCACTGGGTGCACTTCACTCCTAGGAGACAGCAGAGCAGTGAGGGGTCAGACAAGCCTTTCTTTGATCCATTATAATGGAAAACTAGTCTATTCCAAGTAGCTTAAACATCCCAGGTTAGACTTGCCTAACTGAAAAACAGTTGCTGAGCAATCTTGAAACAGCCCAGCTTATGGTTTTTCTGTTCTAAATGGGGTTACTTCTGTAAACCTTTACCTACAGACACAATTTTATGAGATTTAATGCTGTATTATAAAATGGAATTATAATAACTGTCCACATTCCTACATAAAGTATATACAGATTTAACTGATAATGGAGACAAATGGGAATAACATGTCAATGACATTTCTCATCTATAAAATTTTTTTCCTGATGAACCAGATATAGTTAAAAAATGCATTAATATAATATTTTTTCAAAATTATTATATACAACATCATGGCAAAAGCACTGGATTGAACGTCTGGAGACTCAAGTTACTATTTCCAGTTCTTCCTCTATCACATGGTGTGATCTTGGGCAAATCAGTTTATTTCCCAGACCTTGGTTTACTTATAAAATAAAATGGTTGAGCCCGGTCAGTGGCTCAGTGGATTGAGTGTCACCCCATGGACTGAGAGGTCCCGGTTCGATTCCTGGTCAGGTCACATGCCCAGGTTTTGGGCTCAATCCCCAGTAGGGGGTGTGCAGGAGGCAGCCGATCAACGTTTCTCTCTCACATTGATGTTTCTATCTCTCTCTCCCTTCCTCTCTCTCTAAAAAACCAGTAAGAAAAAAAAATTTTTTTTTTTATCCTCACCTGAAGACATTTTTCCATTTTTTTATTCAGATAGAGTGGGAGGGAGAGAGAGGAAGAGAAAGAGAGAGAGAAACATCGACGTGAAAGGGACAAACTGCAACCAAGGTACATGCCCTTAGCGGGAACTGAACCCGGGTCTCTCCAGACTGAAGGCCAACGCTCTAACCACTGAGAAAACTGGCCAGGGCAAAAATTTTTTTTAAATAAAATAAAATGGTTAGAGCAAATGAAATTTAAGTCCCATGCATTTCTTTATTTTTTTTGTGTGTGTTAATGTTTATTTATTTATTTATTGTTAATCCTCACCCAAGGACACTTTTGCATTCATCTTCAGATAGAGCGAGAGGGGGAGAGGGAATAAGAGAGAGAGAGAAACATCAATGTAAGAGAGACACATCCAGTGGTTGCCACCCACATGACCCCAACTTGGGCTGGGGACAAACTGCAACCAAGGTATGTGCCCTTAGTGGGAACCGAACCCGGGTCTCTCTGGACCATGGACCTACGCTCTAATCCCTGAGCCAAACCGACCATGGCTGTTCACTGATTTTTGAGAGAGAGGAAGGGATAGAAACATCTATTGGCTGACTCCTGCATGCCCCCTACTGGGGATTGAGCCTGCAACCTGGGCATGTGCCCTGACAGGGAATCAAACTGGGACCTCTCAGTCCATGGGATTGACGCTCAATCCACTGAGCCAGATGGGCCAGGGAGTCCCACACATTTCTAAATTCCCATGACTTTTATTATTTTTTATTTTTTATCCTCACTTGAGGACATTCTTTCCATTTTTTGTTCAGATAGAGTGGGAGGGAGGGAGAGGAAGAGAGAGAGAGAGAGAGAAACATCGATGTGAAAGGGACACACCGAGTGGCTGCCACCCGCACAACCAACCAGGGCCGGGGACAAACTGCAACCGAGGTACATGCCCTTAGTGGGAACCGAACCCGGGTCTCTCTGGACCGCAGACCGACGCTCCAACCACTCAGCCAAACCAGCCAGGGCTCCCATGACTTTTAAACTTGAGAGCTCAAGAAAGAGAATTCTAAATTAGGTTTTATAATAAAATTGAGATATTGTCTCAACACATTAAGTCCACATATATGAGATCAGATAAACTATACAGTAAATCATGCCCCATAGTGATAAAGGTCCGGGAGTTTCACATACAACTGTAAAGACCTGTTATCTATATAGTGAGTGGGCTCCATTTGATTAAACATGTTCCACAGGAGAAGTTTCTAAGCTGCTGTTTCCTGATCTGTACAGCAGTGATACTGACGGAACCCAAACCTCCTGCGGTGGGAGAATGTAATGCACTGGAGGGGCTGGCACAGCCCCTCGCACCCGGAAGCAGCAACCCTGTGCCACGACGCTGGGGATGGAGATGATGGTGCTGTGCACTGATGCTTCACACAGACTCCTTCTCTGGGCATTTCAATGACCACGTTTAACAAAATGTGTTAACAAAATCTGAACATTAAAAAGTGAAACTAAAAAAATGTAACTATAAAATCTGAAGAAACTATTTAGAGGGTTGAGTTCAAAGCATATTAACGATAGCCATGTCACGTGGAAAATGCCATTTTTTGCCCCGGCCAGTTTGGCTCAGTGGTTAGTGTCAGCCTGAGGACCAAAGGGTCTTGGGTTCAATTCCCAGTCGATCTTGGCCCTGGTCTTGCGTCACGTAGGAAGCAACCAATCACTGTGTCTCTCTCACATCAATGTTTCTCTCTCTCTCTTTCCCTCCCTCCCTTCCACTCTATCTAAAAAAAAAAATCAATGGAAAAATATCCTCAACTGAGGATTAATAAAAAAACAAACAAACAAAAACAGAAAATGCTATTTATTTTTTGGTCTATATCCAACTACCGTGGGAATTTCCTTTGAATTCTAGTAGAAGGCACAAAGAAATTGGCAAATACTTCAAAAATAAGGCAAAATATATCTGCTAATAAAAGCTGGTCAATAACTATAAGAAGAATCTGTATACAGAGCTGCTTTCATATCTGACATCAAATCACTTCTGCCACAGTGTTAGCTCCATGTGTAGGGTGAGCAGTGGTGAGGAATCAGGGAGGCATCACGTGGTCACAACTCCCCATGTCCCAGCAGAGTGTGACACAGAGAGCCCCAGCCGACTGGAGTGTCTGTCCCCTTCGCCCTTTTGGCCTCCACACCCTCTGCTAATACTTCCAGGCCTCTGGGTGGAGCTTTCTCCAAATGCTCATGCTACCTACTGGTAGAGTGCACCAGAGAAGCCACCAACATTTGGGCTGCTTTTACAGAAGTAAAACACAACTCTCATTACAAAAGGTTATAAATAAGTACCACTGTACCTATTAAGCTAGCTCCTCAGATTTGGATGATAGTCAATAGGCTGGTGTGAATGTGGTGGAATCATACACTTGCAGGCCGTTAGCTGCAATGCAACTGGAAAACCCCTTGGCCATGACAATGGTCATATTCTATGACCCAGGGATGTGTTAGAATTGTAAAAATCCATTATGTAGATGTATTATAATTTATGCAATGCATTATGAAATATCTGTGCAATGTTCTCCTATTGGTTATTTAGGTTGTCTCACTGTTTTTGTTAGTTTTGGCTAGTATACATAGTGACAGGTTCTTTTTTTCTTAATGCTACAGTAATAGTATAGAGAACCTAGACATTTAACAAGAGGGAAATATGGATTAAACAGGGTATTTTGCAGCTATTAAAAATCATCATCAAGTCTATCAAACAGCCACCAAAAAACTTAGGGAAAAAATGCTAAATTAAAAAAGCAGACTGCAATATTGTACTTGTATTAAGATTACAGCTTTAGAAATAAACTCATACATGAAACCAGAGACAGAAAGCAACGTGGAAAAATACAAACAGCAGATACAGTTGGAGGGCATGACTGTGAAGGATCGTTAAAAAATATTTCTAGCCTTGGCCGGTTTCTCAGTGGTTAGAGCACTGGCCTGAGGACCGAAGGGTCACGGGTTCGATTCCCAGTCAAGGGCATGTACCTCAGTTGCATGTTCAATCCCCGGCCCTGGTCAGGGTCATGCTGGAGGCAACCAATCTGTGCCTCTCTCACTTTGATGTTTTTCTCTTCTTTCTTTCCTTCAACTCTATCTAAAAAAAAAACAACTATGGAAAATATCCTTGGGTGAGGATTAACAACAACAAAAAAGTATTTCTGTTATGGTTGGGAAATTGTGCTTTAAAAAAAGTTACCTCAATAGGCCAATGATTCTGTACTACCTAAGTACCCAGGACAAAATGACAATATAAACAATGTTGGGGAACGAGTTCAAATTCCACAGAAATTACCTGCTAGTTGAGCTGTGACTGCTTGGAATGGCAGCTTTCGGAACATGTCCACTAGGGGCTGTACTTTTCTTACGTTGACTAATTCGTGCTTGCCATAGTCCAGCTCATACACGGATGCCAGTCCATTGGTCAGAATTCCCTTTAAAAGCACCCTGTGCCACCTAGATGTGCACAGGATTGAAAAGGAAGAAGAAACACAAAAATTAAATGCTTTAATTAAGGATAACATTTTATAATAAAAAGAAAAATTGATACAAATGATATTTATCAAAATATAAGACTATTCTATCATAAAAGTTTTTTTAAGGGATTGCTGCTTCTTTTTCCAAAGGTTACGATTCTTGGCTTTATCACTGGCTCATTTGATGGAATTTGCTCACTCCAACACCCTTGTCAGGCCTCATGGAGCTAAGGAGAATGAGACATAGTCTACTGACCATCACGACGCAGAATGAAACAAATGCCATGGAGAACAATTGGGACAAGGCTAGTGGGTCCCTCCACTATGTCTGGGGGATGGGATGGCCACACATTTGGGACAAGGTACATGTGTGGAAGATGGGAAGAGGGAGGCAAGCAGGACTAGGCCAAGCTGAAGACACTTAAGAGAAGAAAAGCACAGAAGACTCTAAGGGCCTGGTGGTTTGGATGGAGCAAACACTACAGTATAGCTGGGAGGTAGAATGTGGGGAGGAATGGAAGAGAAGGTCAGAATGGGGAGGGAGGTTGGAAGGAGATTACAAAAAGTAATGTAAACTTGACAATTTAATTATGCCAAGTAAAGACATTAAAAAAAAAAATCTAACCCATTGCTTAAAGAACTGGGAAATGGCAGGCGAGTATGAGGAAGATCCAGTGTTCAAGGTGCCAGAAATTCACACAAATACACTCTCCCCCTCTGGGCCTACATCATTAAAATGAAAACAAAACAAAACAAAAACTAGATTCCAAAGTTCAGGAATGAAGGACCATTTTAAAGTCCTATAGACTTGATTATATGATTACTGGAGGCAAGGATGATTGATCATGTCTAAAAGGAAGCTGTCATGGAGGCGGCCTCTGCTCCTGCGTGGTGTGAGTCGGGCCCTGCCTCCGCGCAGTCCTGGACACCCTCGGAAACAGGCTCATCAGGAACAAGTCCTGTGGAGCAGCAGGCCCATCACTGTCACACACTGCTATGCTGGAGCTAGCCCGACTGGACTGATTTCCCAGCCAATGTACACCTAGTGGAGAATGGGTACAGGAAACCAACACAGCTGCTACAGTAAGAAAGCTACAAAGAGGCCAGCTCTAATACTATATGTGATTAGGGGCTTCTGGAGGAAACTCATAAACCTTCAAATAAGGCCAAAGTGCTGCAGGCAAAAATCCGTGGGTCACAGAGACAACAGGGACACAGAAAGACGTCACCTAAGGGCTTTGGGGGCCAAGCTGCTGAGCTGGAATCCCACCTGAGCTCGGCCATTTTCCAGTTGCATTACCCTGGGCTCTTTGTTTATTCTCTGAGTCTATTATCTCATGGGTCATATTTAATTTTAACTCACTTGCAGAAATAATATATCCAAAGTGCCTAGCACTTTATTTTCTTGGCATATTTGGCACACGGCAAATGGTAGCCATCATTATTACGATTAATCATTATTAAAATGAAGATAAGCTATGTAAATATAAGAATTTCAGACCAAATTTAAGAGAATTTTTCATATTCTGGAAGAGCCAGTTTGGTGCATGTTGCTAATTGGTTGAAGTGCAAAAGGAGTCAAAAACCTCTGGTTTCCACCAATAGCAATGTCGTTAAGCTGCACAGGGCAGTGATGGGTCTGTGCTTTGTCTATAAAGAGGTACAGGGCAGAGAGGAGAGAGCCATCAGAGAATTCAAGTGTTGTACTTACACTCAGCTTTGAATTTTCAAAATTAATAGCTTAAATAAAGGCTAGATTTCCAACTTCAGTGCAAGGCTGCTTGTGAATCACCTGGAGAATGTTAAAAACACAGATTCTGGGGTTCTAACCCCAGCGATTCTGATTCAGGGTGTCTGGGGTAATGAAGGAGAATCTCCATTTTTAATAGGTTTCCAGGTTATTCTTAGCCAAGATAGATTTGGAAACACTGTAATAGAAAATGCATCTAAAATTCCTACATCTTAATTTACTGTAGTCAGGAACAAGATTTAGGAAATAGTTCTGGGTTGTAAGAAAGATAGAAACTCTAAACATTTTACACTGATTCAGTTCATAAAGTTAAAAAAAGAAAGTTAGATAATCTTTTCTTATCTATAAAAGACACCCCTTGCTTATCTGGGGACAAATTAATCAGTTGAAACCCAAGAGTCCTGGGGCAGAGCTGTTGGGACACATGGGGTAGGGGGAACAGAGTCTGAAGTCCCATACTATAGGTCTCCAGTTTGTGGGTCCTTCTCCCCCACACAACCCTTGCCTCCAAGTAGGACCCACTAATTATCATTAATCTGCCCCTCAAATAACAAGTAACATTAGTTTGATTTTAACTGTGATTAAATTATCCTGCAAAGATTTCTGACTCGCAAATTTATACCAATAATATTCCCACACTGAATTAAACCCATTTATGCTTATGTTTATAAATAACTTGACACAGTAAAAATGCTTTTTTGAAGATGAAAAGCTTGCAACATATAAGTTGAATGCTTTTCAGAAGGAGAGCTACTAGACTTTTCACTTTTAAGAATAAAAATTGTTTTTCTCCTCCCACGAAAATAACAACATTTTATAAATGCCTATACTTGCCATCTTAAGAAAGAACAACAACATTTACAGAAAAAAATAAGCAGTTTGGCCTTTAAAACTGAGTTGGGGGGATGTGTATGTGTGATTGTGTGTGTTCTGGGGTGGGGAAAGACAGTTCTGTGTGTTCAGCATCATCAAAAAAGCTTGATCATTTCCCCTAAGAAAGCTGGCCGAGGGGACAAGGGGCAGCTGTGCCGTTTTCCAGGGCTCCGGAGCCTGAGCGCAGTGTGTGGAGTGTTTGGGCTTTGCTGGGCTGAAACCAGCATGTACTTCAGGAAACAGCTACAGGAAAGAAGGAGGTGGATCCAAATGTGAAAATACAAGAACACAGATGGAAGGACTAAACAAGTGTAAGGATTGTGGTCTCACTGCTCAGAGGCCAAAGAGCAGTGGAACATGCTCTATTGAACCTCTTGAAATGTGGCACCTGCTCTCTCTGAAGCAACTGACAATGTACATCAAGAATCCTTAATCAAGCCTGGCGGGTGTGGCTCAGTGGTTGAACGTCAACCCATGCACCAAGAGGTCGCTGGTTTATTCCCAGTCAGGGCTCAATCCCCAGTGGGGGGCATGCAGGAGGCAGCCAAGCAATGTTCTCTCTCATCGATGTTTCTATTTCTCTCTCTCTCCCTCCCTCTCTCTCTAAAGGAAAAAAAAAAAGAAAAAAAAAACCTCAATCAAACCACTATTTTGTTTTCTAGGAATCTATCCTATAAATAAATAATCAGATGGGAATAAAGATTATGTTCAATGTTATTTATAACAGTGGAAAATCTGGGAGAAAAAGCCCTATACCACAAAAGAGAATGATAGGTAAACTATAATTTTCTCTGTATGATGGCCTATTATTCAGCCATTAAAAATGTTTATGAAGACATTTTATCACATGAAAAACTTCACAGGATTGTGTCAGATAAAAAAAGTACAAAATCGCCCTGGCCGGTTTGGTTCAGCTGTTAGAGTGTTGGCCTGCAGTCCAGAGAGCAGCCGGGTTCGGTTCCCGCTAAGGGCACGTACCTCGGTTGCGGTTTATCCCCGGCCCTGGTTGGTCGTGCGGGTGGTAGCCACTCGATGTGTCCCTTTCACATTGATGTTTCTCTCTCTCTCTCTCTCTCTCTCTCTCTCTCTCTCTCTCCCTTCCTCTCTCTCCTTCCCACTCTATCTGAACAAAAAATGGAAAAAAAAAATGTCCTCCGGTGAGGATTAAAAAAAAATAATAAATAAATAAATTAAAAAGTACAAAATCATACATAATAATAATCCAGCTGTATAAATATATACAGAAAAAACTAGAAATACATACATAGTTGAACAAGGGTAATGTTTGGTTGGCTGATTTTCATTTTGTACCTTTTTTTTGTGTTTTTAAATTTTTCTACAATAAACATCTTATTTTTTAAATTAAGGGGTTATTAAATAAAAAATGTTTTCTAAATAAACAAATATTTTTAATAGAAAGGTAGAAAAAATATTTAAACCTTCACTGCAGACATGATTAGGTTTGAACAGGATTTCACTAGATTTTTAGATAAATGAGATCATTTTAAATATTAGACAATTGCATAATTCATTAGTCTCATTTCACATTCAAAAATCCCATTCGTGCTGTTCAAGTCCCCCTGCAGGGATTAAGGGCTCTTAGTATCACTCTACACATTTTTCTTAGGAGTAGAATAAAACGCTTTGTCCAGGGACCTACTTATTTTCCACTTTCGCGGCGTACACTTGGTCTTTTTCCACTGCTACGTGGCGCTCCTCAGACACGCTGTAATACAGAATCATTTCTTCCATCAGAACTTCCAATTTGTGTATCTCTTGCCATGGCTGGATGACAAAGTAGCCTGGGTGGCAGGCCACAGGCACGTACACATCCATGTGCTCCCCTGGCTTTGACAAGTGGACAGGAGGTGGCAGTTCCTCCATGGAGAACGAGCAGGTGTGATCCACCATGGCCTTTTTGGTGACCTCCATGAGGCCCTTCCTGGCATTCTCTCCGGGGCTGCTCACAGTGGGGGTGTGGCCGCTGTTGCTGCTGGGAGAGCTAGCTCCACCGGCAATGGCGCTCAGAAACACATCCTTCTGATGCTTCCACAAGTCTGCGTTTGTAATCTGACGATTGATGCTGCGGTGAGGGTCAGGGAAGTTCTTAGGAGTAAATAAATAAACATGTGCTATCCCTCTGGTTTCATCCACTTTTGTAACCTTTGGAAAACATGAAAAACCTATTCAAGAAATCCAAGCTCACGCTGAATTCCAACAGGTGGTTATGATGTTAATGTTAAATATGAAAACACAGTATTTGACCAAAAAAAACAAAAAACAAACTCCACCCCAACTTGCTCAAAACCACTTTAAGGTCAGATGAATTATCTATCACAGCTGTAGCAATGAATAAGCTCTTATGTAGTCTAGAAACCAGCAACAAGCTTATGAAAGTGAAAAATGTACTAACTTCTAAAATCTCTAAGAATATCTTATAACTTGCTAGAGGCAATTATCACTGAGAGGAAGTGATTCTATATATCATGATTTAAACATTTAAAAAAAATTAATGGCATTTTAAAACACTCAAAACGGAACAAAGAGTAAGCGGAATCCCCATGTGCTGTCACCCAACTTCAACAGTGACAATCAAGGGCAGCGCAGACAGGGTAAGCATTCTGCCTAACCTGGTGTCCTCTCAGACTGGGGACTGGGAGGAAGGAAAAAGCTCTGACATTCACCACACCCTCAGGGACACCTGGTCTGAGTTCCTTATTTGGTCCTAATATCTGCCTTCACCCCTCATCCCTCTCCCAGTTACAGGAGAGAAGAGGGACTTGGGTGTGAAAGAGGAAGCCGGCTCCAGGCCCAGATGGCAGTTCTCTACCTTACGCCCAGGACCTTTGACTACCTGGCTCCCCCTTTCTGTCAGGGGGTGGGTGTTTGTATAGGAACACACCACACGCTGAGAACTGGAACTGTACTGGGTGACTGCTAATTCTTCTCATCAGCTCCTCTAGTTTATCTTAGAAATGACAAAAAGGAGCTACTTCTAGTCAATCTACTTTTTATCACATCGGCCTAGAAATGAAAGGCAGAGACACAGGCATGAAGATAGGGAGATAACATGAAAGGCAATCCTTCCACAGTAATTTACTTAATTTTTTCCCTAGCAAGATGAATCTTTTTAAATTCATCATTTGAAGTGCTAATGAAGTACTAACTGCTAACTCATTTTTATATTTATGACACAGAAGTACCATTTCAAAAATCAACCATTAAAAATATTCTTACTGAGTACCCAATGCCCTGGTTTTAGGAGCTGAAAAAGTAGCCGAGAAAACAATATTTATTATTATGCTTCAATTAGAGAATATGAAATGATACATAATTAAGTGTGTAACTGTACATGATAAGCCTGAGAGGAATATGAAGAGAGGAAAATCGGTGTGAGTTAGAATAATTTAGAGATCTTCATGAAGCTATTTCTCAAGGTCATTTCATTGTTAAATTTTCATATGAAATGACAACATTATTTGCATCAGTTAAAACAGAAATCTCATTTTACATTTCTATTCTTGGAAATATGAGCAGTGTTTTTGTTATCAAGATGTAAAAGTGCAGAGAAAAAAGAGCTAGTGAAATAAATCAAGCAGTTGAAGTAAGCTTTAGGAAAAGAGGCAAAACCCAGGATTGTAAGCAAATAATTTGCTTATACTTTAGAAAAAAGAAATAGAGGACTTACATGATTTTTAGAAACATTTATCAAGAGATACATAGTGGTCCCTCTGTTGGGGACTTAATTCCTTATCCTGGTGCAAAACAGAAGCAGAGAATCATGTCTGCTACCTTAAAATAATAATGAAAAAATTATATAAAGGGTTTAAAAATACTACTGGAGATACCAAATAAATTTTTAAATGAAAATTAAACCAGCCCTGGCCGATTTGGCTCAGCGGTTAGAGCGTCAGCCTGCGGTCCAGGGAGACCCGGGTTCGGTTCCCGCTAAGGGCGTGTACCTTGGTTGCAGTTAGTCCCCGGCCCTGGTTGGTTGTGCGGGTGGCAGCCACTCGATGTGTCCCTTTCACGTCGATGTTTCTCTCTCTCTCTTTCTCTCTCCCTCCCACTCTATCTGAACAAAAAATGGAAAGGTGTCCTCGGGTGAGGATTAAAAAAAAAAGAAGAAGAAGAAAATTAAACCATAAAATATCTTCTCACTACGCATGTAACCAATCTCGTAACTGTACAAACGTGTCAGCTGTGAGAGCATCAGTTTACAGTAAGATAAAATTCTTTCACAAAAACCAAATGAGCCCTTCTGGCTGACAGCTCCCTTTCTAAATGTATCGAGACCAATGAGATAACAAACCTTAATGCTACAGTCCGAGCAATTCAAAACAGAATCTCTTAACCAAAGCACAGCATCTGGAGTCCACATGCCAATAGATTGTGGTATATCTGCTAAACAGCACTTGATGGCCTGAAAAGAAAAGACAATGGAGAAGCTTAAAATTGGCACTTCTGAGTAACGTCAATATTATTTTCTTACAAGTCCGATGTTGCCAAGATAGAAAGCAAGCAACAGTAATAGTTAATAATGACAATCACAGAGCTCAGGCTGGAGCATCTGCTTTATTCCTGGCTCTGTTTATATCACTACTATTGTCTTTGCTCCTATTATGAGCCAGGGACTATACCATACACTTCATGTATTTCTCACCCAACAATACTTCTGCTTGACAGGCCAGCACTGCAGCCCCATTACACAGATGGTGAAACAGACTCAGAGAGACTGGAAGATCACAAAACTGAGAAGATAGGATTGGGACTTATATCTGGGTCTTCCCTCTAAACCCAACTGGAAAAAAAAAATGAAGTGTGAGTTGGATGGAAACTGACTTCTGTAGCAAAAATCTTGTTGGAGGCTTATGTACTTCATTCAGCATTTCCTGAGCACCTCGCGGGTGCCAGGCGGGTCTCGATACATTTAGAAAGGGAGCTGTCAGCCAGAGGGCTCATTTGGTTTTTGTGAAAATTAATTTTCAAAGGCGGGTGCCACACCTTTGGAAGAAGGTTGTGATGAGAATTTTAAAAACTAAAATCCATAGATAGCTAAAAGCCTCACTTCCCCCAGCACCTTTTGCCTTCACCATCACTGCACCTGCTTCTGTAGAATGGTACAGCAGGGAGTAAATGGTGACCTCAGGGACTCTCTTAGGTCTCATGGAATTGATGGAGGCAATTTTGTGAAGGGAATGAGACCTACTTCCAGGATTCCTTCCTTCCTTCTTCTCTGAGCCCCATCCTCCCTGTTCTACACTTCTCCTTCAGGGGCTCCAAGTCTCTCACTGTGCCCCCTGGGTGAAGTCAGACACTCTAGTACTTGTAGGGGCCAGGCAGGTATTGAGGGAGTGAGGCGGCCAGCTAGGGACAGCTAGGGACAGCACGGGCCTCAGGGAAGAATGTCACTTCCCAGAGTACTGTTCCATGAAAAAGAATGCTCGATATTGTCCAATTTTCTACTTCGTCAACAAAAGCTAGAAGTAGGGATTTTTGTTTTCTTTGAAATTGTGCGATTTTTAAATCCTGGCAACCAGTTCACATTTTAAAACACTGTAAGAGCCAAGAGCCCACACTCAATATCCAACGGGCAGCTTTGACCGACAGGCCATCAGTTTGCTGCTCTGACTTAGACCTTTTGGGGAGATGCTGTTAGTCAGAGGTTGGCCTTGCTGGCTTTTAAAGTCCCCCCAACTTCACAGCTATTGAACAGAAAATCTAGATAAGATTAATAGAAAACAATTTGTCATGGCTTTTAATGCTGTAGCACAAAGAAGATACAGTGTGTGATTTTCAGACAGTCAAAGCAGTGGGATGGGGCCCCCCACCCTCTGCTGCTCCAGTCCAGGGGACCCCTTCTAGGTAAAGCTGGCCTGGTAGATGTTCTAATAAGGGGTACAGAGGCCAGAGATGCTATCAAGGGAAAGAAGGACTTAAAAGTCTAACAATTTTCAATATAATGGCTTAGCAACAATAAAAGTGATTTTGAAAACTAGCTTGATCAAATAGCTTCTCTGTAACAGTCATTTTAGAAAAGGCAATGGTGACTGGAGAGAAATTATAAAAGCTATGCTGGTTCTGATCAAGTGCTTTTATTCACTTAGTTTTGATGGCATAAGGTATCTTCTGGCACATATAAGTCAAGCAGCCTTTTAAAATTACAGACTGTTGGCCCTGGCCGGTTTGGCTCAGCGGTTAGAGCATCGGCCTGCGGTCCGGAGAGACCCGGCTTCGGTTCCCGCTAAGGGCATGTACCTCGGTTGCAGTTTGTCCCCGGCCCTGGTTGGTCGTGCGGGTGGCAGCCACTCGATGTGTCCCTTTCACATCGATGTTTCCCTCTCTCTCTCTTCCTCTCTCTTCCTCCCTCTCTGTCTGTGCAAAAAATCGAAAAATGTCCTCGGGTGAGGATAAAAAAAATAAAAATAAAAAAAATAAAATTACAGACTATTGAACAATTTTATTTTTAAAAAATGATTAGTTTCTATACAAAATCATCGACTTCTCCTAAATGTAGAAAATAGTTCTTAACAATTTTAGTTCATTCAAAATAATTCAAAATTTGTATCACAAAGTTTTACCAATAGAGGAGGAACAGGCTGAGGTTAATCTTTTTATTAAAATCTATATAAGAAAATGATTAAATATAAACAGATTTCCATAGAGAATGGTTACTTAATTAAACTAAGAACTCTGAAAGTAATTATTTACATACAATATCCTGAAGCTGTGCAGAAGTCAGCATTGACTAAATTACTAAAATGGAACCTCTGACTGGACAACATAACTGAATGACCCGACATACTTGAAAACAAACATTTACCATAATCAATGTTCTATAAGTCTGATTGGTATTCCTGTCTAAGCTGAATCTCACATCTGAAAACTGGTGAACAGCCACATCTGGATCATTTCCAGTTTTGTTACAAACTTCGACTTCGATCATTATCAAGATCAAAACTGAGAGGGCACCTCACAAGACGGGCACAAATACACCCCAGTGTCTCCCAGCAAACCTCCTGCTGTAACACACAGTACCTGAGATGGTACTGCAATCACTTCTTGCAGAAACCGAGAGGGAATTTCCCTGAGCTCAGATACTTTCACGGATGTCACGGTGCCAGAGTCCAGGAACTGAACATCAAGAGTCCGGCTGCTGTGCACGTTCATGATCTGCAATGAGACATGTTGGCTCATTTACTAGCACATCCAAAAGGCCCAAACGGCCTGTGCCATTACATTTTGCTCAACTCTAAATTGCATGTAAAAGCAACAAAAACTTCCATTATTAAATTTCCTCTTATTTTAAAAAATATAGGTATTCTTTTAGAGTATAATTGATTTCAATATCTAGTTGTTATTTTTTTAATCAGTAGTAATCACTAAACTAGTAATAATCATTAAAACTAGAAAATATAGTAATATTTACTTTGTTTTCCATTCTAGAGCACTATTGACTATAATACAATTTGATACATTATTATACATTGCTGATTGTAAGAAGTACTCTGCTCTCCACAATATTAAAATGCGAGGAAAAACTATTGTGTCTTAGCAATGAGGAAATAAATTAGCAATGAGGAAATAAAGAACAGAAAGAATTCAGAGACAGAATTTTACTGGTAGCAAGTTAATGCTACATATTTTTAAATCATAAATGGTATTTTATAGCTTTATCAGAAAATCCAATGATAATAATTATCATTTGTCCTAACTAAAAATTTGAAACTCAGAAAGTCATAGAGAGGTAAAATAAGTCCAAAATAATAATTCATAAATGGTAAATTACACACTGAGTCAAGGCAATAATTACTCACTTGTGATCACATGGCAACATCACAATGTAAGATACTGGGTGCATCTTTAAATGCCTGTAATTTCCCTTAATAAATCACTGTGATATTTGGTATCATTGAATATAGTTACACTGGGACAGTTTTCTGGGCAGGAACTTCATGCCCACAACTGCACTAACTGCTATCTTAGGAATGGTGGTGCCTTCAACACGGTGACTGTCATGAAGAACTAGACCACTCATGGCATACAAGTGAGATTTACCAAAAGTAAAGCCTGTTCTACTGCCCCATCGAATGCTTTATTAATATAACAGCATAAGTTTTTAAAAATTTTAAGACATGAAAAACACAAACAGTACTATGGGGCAATATATTTAAATGTGTTTATTCAAACATATAAACTGAACATATATGTTAGTATAAATGGTATATATTGAATACTTATTATATCCAGGCATAACTGGGCCAAAGAGATATATTTCCCCATCTTAAAGAGTTCCTAGTCTCATGAGAGATGACACAAATACATAATCATAAAATAATGTAGTAAGGGCAATAATAAAGTTACGCATGGGGTACTATGAGAACACAGAGGATGGGTACCTGTCCCAGCCAGGAAGTAAATGTTAGAGCAAGCTTTCAGGAGGAAGAAATGCCTAGAACTGATACTTTTCTTTAGAATTAACTTTTTTCTTCTTATTTTAATAAAATACCATTGTAGAAAATTTAGACACTTAAAAGAATAATATATATGTCCTGGCTGGTGTGGCTCCATGGTTAGAGCATTGACCTGTACACCAACTCTCTAAAAGTCTAAAATTATTTCAAAATAAAAATCTAAAGAAATTAAGTATTTGTATATTTATATATTATACACTAAAATATCAGAGCTTTAAAATTCAAATAATGCCATGTTCTTTTTAATGAGTCATGTGTTTGAAGTTTATAGCTAAGCACAAAACTCTTGATCATATAATCCCAGCTATCTCAGCCTTCTGATATACATTCACATTAATGACAATAATTACTTCAGAACTGCTACTTTCGCTAAAGTAGATACGAACAAGTTTTATTTAAATAAAAGAAAAATCAGTATAATTAAGTTATCAAAATGTTGCTGTGCAGAATTAAAAATCAATAAAGGAATGGTTCTTACCTTCTTAGGGTAGTTTCTCTGAGAGTCCTATGAAAATTATGGATACATTCCCCCACAAAATACAGACTACACACACACAGACATACACAATTTGCAAGAACCCCTGTAAGTAGAGGTCCTCACACCTAGATTAAGAACCTCTGAAACAGCCCTGGCCGGTTTGGCTCAGGGGTTAGAGCGTCCACCTGCGGTCCAGAGAGGCCCGGGTTCGGTTCCTGCTAAGGGCATGTACCTCGGTTGCAGTTTGTCCCTGGCCCTGGTTGGTCGTGCGGGTGGCAGCCACTTGATGTGTCCCTTTCACATCGATGTTTCCCTCTCTCTCTCTTCCTCTCTCTCCCTCCCACTCTGTCTGTACAAAAAAATGGAAAAATGTCCTCGGATGAGGATTAAAAAAAAAAAAAGAAGAAGAACCTCTGAAACAAAGGAAAAACAGAAAAAATAAAATCAAGCCCAATTTTTCAATTTTAACAACTGGGAAAACTAGATATCAAAAAAGAAGAAAGGAAAGGAAACAGTAACCACAAACACACAAAAAATTCACCTTTGAAAAAAATATAGAAATATATGATAAAATATAACAAACCTTTCAAATTCAAAACTGAACTCACAAGAAAATAAGACAGTCACTAAGGATGGAAACAGAGGAGTATGTAAACACTAAAACCAAAGCACCCTGGGCAGGAGGGAAGGAGGATTTGAGGATCCCCCAAGAAGCTGGAACTCTCAAAGGGCCACAGCTTCAATGGAAGGGTTACTTTGCAGAGTAATCGGGCAATAATCTAGTGAAGCTGAAGATATGCATTTCCTACACCCAGAAATTCCATTCCTACATATATGCCCTGAGGGATATGCACAGGAAGGTTCATTGTAATGCTGTTAATAACAAAAAATAGAAACACTCTAAATATCCATCATCAGGAGAATGAAACAATAACGTTGGCATATTCATACACTGTTACATTATACAGCAATGAAAATAAATGAACTAGCTAGCACTGCATGTTAACACGTATGAACCTCAAAAACATAAAAATGAAATGCATGTCTCAGAAGAACCAATACATTTATATACGTTTACATATACATATATATACACATATACATACACCCACACCCACACACGCATACACATCCTCACCTGAGGATAGTTTTTTCATTAATTTTTAGAGAGAGTGGAAGGGAGAGTGGGGGGAGAGAGAGAAAGAGAGAAACATCGGTGTAAGGGACACATATCAATTGGTTGCCTCCCACACACGCCTGGGGCAGGGATCGACTCTGCAACCCGGGCACGTGCCCTTGACTGGGAATCAAACCCATGACCCTGTGTGCACAGGCCAACACTCTAACCACTGAGCAGCACTGACCAGGACTATTTATATATATTTTTAAAACATTTTTTCATTTAATTACACCTTATTCATTTAGTTTTTACTATAAATATTTTATATACATATTCATTTCTATATTTCTACAACCTACATATGAAAAAAATTTATACAGTAAAAGTGTGTGTATAGAGACGCCAATAAAGTAGAAATATAAAGAAGTGAATAGGAGTGAGAGACACCAAATTCAGCTGGCAGCTCCCCCAGGGGTGGGAGTAGAAGAAAGGGGATGCAGACAGGGAGCACTGGTCATATTTTATTTCTCAAACTGTTTTTCCATTAAAAAAAACAACAACTTGTTTGTATGTCTGAAATATTTCATAAGTTAAGGAAAAAAAACATCAAGAGACTGATTTTACCTCTACACGTAACCATTTTCCTTTGCAATGGAAGAGGCAGATTTTCCCACAGAAGGGTAAGGAAACGAAGTACTCTGAGGTCATGTGCTGTAAAACAGGAAGAGTAACACATTACTCTCAACAAAGAGCATATTGCTACACCATCAGGAAAACGTCCCTGTGGCACAGGCTGGCCGCTTCACCCACGTGTAATCAGAGGAGACAGTGCATGCCCAGGGGCTCCCAGAACTCCTGCCTGTTTCTCTACATTTGTTGATAGCAGTGGTCTATGCTCCTTCCCTGCACATGGCTCAGGAACCAGCCCTATCTAGAGAGGTTAGCATGGAGGTCAGTGTGATTCATGCACGCTCTGGCACCATCAGTTAAACATGAAGAGGGAGGATGTATCTGACAAAGAAAACAGCCTGGATGCACGTGAGGAGGCTGGGTGAGTTGTCAATTAGGTCTCTTTTTTTTTAATCTTTTAACATTTAGATTCAAAGATATAATTTTAATTCCAAAACAAAAAATATGTTATCAACAAAATATGGACATTAGTGCCTGTGAAAGTCACACATCATGGCGGCAGATCTCTTCCTCCTCCTCTGCTCCATCCATGAAGCTGAGGACCTGCCGTGGTGTCTTTACTCTTCCCCATGGGCCATGTCTCCACTTTGGTCACGTGAGCAGCAGGGACTATGGAGAGTACTTTTTACCACCAGAGGTTATAAGCACCTGCGTGCAAGTAACTGGTTGTCTTAGAGTTCTCCATGGTAGATAGCAAATCAAACCTAAATAATGACCTGGAGATATATCTAAAACATCTGTAACACAGAAAGAGGTAAAGCTCTAAATCTAATCCTTAATTCTAGGCTGTAGTCTGAATAGAGGCTTAACCTGTTTCAGCAAAAACTTGGCAATATCTATTCTATGTAAGACACTACCTTAGGTACTACACTAACTACATGAATTAGGTGCTTACCAGTAAAGCTCCATCTCTGCCCTCAAGAAGCCTATCCTCTAGTAATACAAACAAATACCCAAATAGCTAAAACACAGTACTGTGTCAGTGCCACGAGGCCTCAGTGTGCTTTGTAGGTTAGAGACAAGGGGTCACATCCAGGGGTGAGGGAAGGCTGAAGTGGCATGAAGGTTTAGTCACTTGGAAACCACAGCATATTCTGGATTATGACTATAATGTCCTAATGGAGGTAAGGAAATCACCTTAGAAACTTAAATCAAAACCTGTACACATCCTGATTCAGAAAAGAAGACTAGATTTAAAAGGTAAGAAGCTTTTTAATAAATTTAAACTACAGAACCGTATTTACTGAGGCAGTAGGTTCTCAGAGACCACAAAGAGCTTGGGGAGTGATGCCTTGAGGTTTTATTCTCCTAAATTCCATGGTTTCATCTTTGCTCAAGGAGGAGCCAGCTGGCCCTAATGGACAGACAGGCAGCCTGCACTGTAGGATCATCACCTGCATGTGTAAGTAACAAATCTACCAGTTGTTGAGCACTTACTATATGCCAGGCACTGTGCTAACCAAGCTGGCTTGCAACTTGTTCTCATGACAATCCTAGGGGCACACACTATTATTACTCTCATTTTACAATGCAGAAAACCAGTAGAGGAGGGTTCTGTTTTTTATGCAGTCTGTGGTTCTCACCCACTATTCTAGAAATTCCACCTCAAATTATTAGAAAGTTACCCATACTTATACAAATTTAGTGCCCACTCTTAATTGCAATTCAGGATTAATTTTGGAGGTAGATGAGGCTCTGCCATACCTTACAATGGAAGTAGTCCTCTATTTTATGCAGGAGGTCGTTGAGCTTGTTCAGTCCCTTACAAGGCACCTGACAGTACAGTGTTCCATCAGAGCAAATATTAGTCACTCTGACATTTGTGTACATGGCATCAACCTGGAACAAATAAAGGGCATGCCAAGGAGGCTTGAGAATAGAGCATAGTTCTTCCCTACCTAAGGGGTATCTACCCTAAATACCTCATTAAAAGTCTTTGCATTTTAAAATCTTCTAAGTTAGAGGATAGATAGGATAGAATGAAATCCATAACTTAAATGTAAAAAACTAATTTAGATCGCTCTCTTTCCAAAAGGAATATCTGATATCATTTGCATCAGGCACAAAGTAGACTTTTTGCATATATTAACTTAATATCCTTAACTTTAGTTTATTTTCTCCCTATTAATTTAGAAAAAGAATGATTATATAAAACATATTTTTGTAACATTAACAGAAATGAAAATTAAAAACTCACCAAATCAAATCCAATTATCAGCCTACTTTCTAATCTGTGTCCACAGGTCACATGAATTTTAATAATTTTTAAAAGTTTAATCACAGTAAAGGTTTTATTTTAGCCATCTTTAGTCAAATCATAATATAAAAATGACTCACTACTGTTATACTTTTTAAAACAAATATTTTCCCAATGTTGCCATGAAGTCTTTTAAACGGTCATTTTTCATATCTCATACTATTCTTTTTTTTTTTAATGGACTTTTATTTCTTTTTTAAAATTGATTTTAGAGAAAGAGAGGAATGGGGGAGAGGAGAGAGACAGATCAATTTGTTGCTCCATTTATTTATGCATTTATTGGTTGATTCTTTTCTTAAAAAATATGTTTTTATTGATTTTTTAGAGAGAGAGCAAGGGACAGAGAGACAGAAACACTGATGGGATAGAGAAACATCAATTGGCTGCCTCCTGCATGCCTCACACTGGAGATTAAGCCAGCAACCCCAGGCATGTGCCCCGACCTGGAATCGAGCTGGGACCTCTCAGTCCATGGGGCGATGCTCAATCCACTGAGCCACACTGGCCGCGCCATTGGTTGATTCTTGTATGTACCCTCACTGGGGATTGAACCTGCAACCTTGGCATACTGGGACAATGCTCTAACCAACTGAGGTACCAAGCCAGGGCCTCATCCTATTCTTTAGAGTGACTGTTCTATAATTTATTTAAAAGTTTTCTTCTTTGTGGATATATATGTTCTTCACATTTGAAAAATGTTAAAGCTAATAATTTATTAAACATTTTCATTGATCTAATTTTCCCTTCTTTTATAATATCCTCCCCTATACTCTTGTAAAATAATTTCAGATTAAATTAATACATGCTTATTGTAGAAATTGGAAAATAAAGCAAAAATCCAATTCCTAATAATTACTATTTAGGTTTGGCATTTTTCCTACTTCCAGTCCCCCTTCCCTTTTTTCTCGATGTGTATGCAACCTGTCTCTATTTAGTGTTAGCCTAAATTTTTTTTCTGATGACTTTCTTTCCTATAATATGTGTAACAGATGACAGCAGTGGTCACAGTGGTACCTGAAGGTGAACCTCGAGTGACTTGTCACACATGGCCTTTAAGCAGGTGGCATTGACATTGATGTCATCTTCTCCTGAGGTATCGTACAGAACAACAAGTGGAATATCAGCCTTTTCAAGAATTTCCACTGCAAAGATCTTCCCACAAGTTAAAGATTCAACCACCTTCACTAAACCAGGATCATCACTGAGAGCTTCCAACCCTGAAAAATATTGACTTTTAATTTATACTTAATTAGCAGAATCATTTTAAGATGGATAGATTGTGTTTGTTTTAGATATTTATTACAATTATTAATCTACTACAAAATTCTTAAATTTTATAGGGAAGCTTTGTTTTACAATCTCCTTTACACAACCACCCTTAGGTTTTAAGATATATATTATAATGTAAATGCCTTTTTGAATGATCACATCAAGGCAGGCAATTTAAAACAAGAAGAAAAACTGATTATCAATCATAATTTCTACCTTAGGAGAAATAGTCTTCACCTTACATACAAACACATATTTAAAACACAAAGTCTAATACACAAAAGAAGCTATCAATCAATTATGTCTACTAATCATGTATTTGTAATGTTCTTTCTAAAAAACACCCTTAACTATTTTCAATTTCTAATTAAATATACACAATTATTTCCTTCTTATACAATGAGCATGCATTGGAAATTTAGACAACCACACTTCCTTTGTTCCTTCCTTCTTTTTTAAGTATAGCATGATGACTCTAAAGATACCAAAGAATTTTCTGACTTATCACAGAAAGTTTCAATAGTGTTTAACATAATATGGATAACATAATAAATTTTATTTTAGTCTAATTATTCTTTAAATTCTTTGAAAATTGTAATTCCATGTATCATATATATGAGAACTTTAAGTTAGTCTATTAAACTAATTAAAACTAGTTCATCATTTCCCCAGTGGTACTATAATGTCTATTTTTGTATTTATTCCCTTTAAGTCCATAACCAAAAGCTCACAGGCTCCCTGAGTGACATTTCTCTCATTCTTGTTCTGTTCTCCAGACACATAACTTTATCACTCTTATCAAACCTTTCATTTCAGCATCCTAAATCTTGTCCTATGCCCTTGATATGCTCTTTTCAAAATGAACTCCCACAGGTTTATAACAGGCTTTTAAAATAACTTGAGATTTATTGCACAGATAGAGCCAAACCTAGCTCCTCTGACATAAAGATTTATCCTTGCTGGGAAGGAGGGCTGATTTTCATGAAAGAATTTTGAGCATTTTCTGAATTTCATTCAGGCTCTCTTGGCATGATGCATACATATTTTGATGTCTTTCTTCGTCATTAACATGGCCACTGTATGCTCCATACTTCTGGGTTATCCCCTACACTGTCACTCACTCACATACACTCCTCTATCTTCCTTGAGGAGGAAGGGAAAGAACAGTGATACATCTACTATGCCAGAGACAGCACATGACCTATAGTTGAACTCGTGCTTGGGTGCATGAAGGTGTGTTACTTGGTAGTAAGCGGTCCCCACAGAGTCTGTCTCACTGGGAATGAAGCTGGGGGTCACTTCAAAACAGGTTGAATGACATGCTCTAAACTGATCAAATTCCATGATACAGGGCCTCTAGAAGTTGTTAGTAGGGCAGTTTAGAACAAACAAACCCTGTAAGATGCCAATAGATATTTATATAATAAAATAAAATACACATGTTCTATGTAATAAAAACATTATTATATTTTTATAATAACCACATCCGATAAAGATGATATTAGACAAATTTATTTATACCTTTCAAAAAATAACACATTATAACACCTTGAGATATATAGTACATTTTAGGATTTAACCACAAAGTACAATGGTAATAATGTATCAAAATGGGAAGAGCTTTCAATAAAGTTCCTCTTACCTGCCAGCTTACACTTTGTAGCTTGGAATGGGAGTGAACAGAACTTCGGGTTCAATTTGTATGCTTTGCTCTTTTCAACATTTTCACTAAATCCGTAGTCAACATAGCATACCTAATGATAACAAAAACAACATTTAGATTCAAATAAAATTCTTTTATTTTTATTTTTATTTTATTTTTTAGTGATAAGTTTATTAATGTCTAACTAGAATAGTAACAGGATTCTTAGCATTTAAATTTTTTTTCTTCATTGGTTTTTAGAGACAGAGGGAGAGAGGGAGAAAGAGATAAAAACATCGATGAGTAAGAACCTTAATTGTCCGCCTCCTACATGCCCCCCACTGGGGATCAGGCCCACAACCTGGGCATGTGCCTGACTGGGAATTGAACCAGTGACCTCTTGGTGCATGGGTCGATGCTCAACTACTAAGCCAACCAGCCAGGCTCAAATAAAATTCATCCTCACTTCTTAAAAAATCACTTGATGCACTGATTGGTTTCCATTTTATTCCATAATCACCATTTATGTTGCACCATACTGCTTGGGAAATGCCAGGAGATGTGCCCTGTCTTAGCCCAGAAAAGAAAGGTTGGGGCTGGGAGGAGGGGAGCTCCTGACTTCCGGGCCGCACTCCTCCACTGCGCCTTTCCTCCGGGGAGGAAAGGGAGTGTGCTGCGCTCTGATGCCCTGCTGTTGCCAGCTTCTCAGCAGCATACCCATCTGGTTCTGCCAGCTGTGACAGTCCCACCCTTTCATTGATATCATAATGCTTGCTTCACTTTATTCCTTCTTAATTTACACACTTCCACTAAGGATTTGTATCCTCAGGAGCAGTATTTGTTTCTAGAAAGGGAGTCACTCTAGTGGTATTTATCAGATTCTAAATCTCCAAAGCAGCATTCATGATGGCTGCTCTTGGCTACTATGCTTCCAGGGACCAAGATAACAATGATGACTTGGCTGGATAACACATCAACTGGCTGCTTCCCGCACAACCCCTGACTAGGGCCAGGGACGAACCGCAACCGAGGTACATGCCCGTGGCTGGAATCAAACCCGGGACTCATTGTTCTGCGGGGCCAATGCTCTACTGCTGAGCCAAACCGGCCAGGGCCAGATACTTGTTTTTTTCAATCCTCACCTGAGGACATTTTTTTTTTTTTTCATTCATCTTCAGACTAAGTGTGAGGGGGAGAAGGAGGAAGAAAGAGAAAGAAACATCGATGTGAGAGAGAGACATCCAGTGGCTGCCACCCACACAACCCTAACCGGGGCCAGGGACAAACTGCAACCGAGGTATGTGCCCTTAGCGGGAACCGAACCTGGGACTCTCTGGTCCACGGGCTGATGCTCTGTTGAGCCAAACTGGCCAGGGCTAGATACTTGTCCCCCCAAGGTTAGGCCTTCATCCAGCTCAGCAAAAGGCCCCAAGTCGGCCAGACAGAGTTCTGTGTTTGCAGAAACCTACATGATACTTCCTCACCATTAGTGAAGATCATGAAGAGTCTGAATAGTATTTTTAGAGTATTAATAAAACTGATTCACAAGGACTCTATAAGCAAAGACTTTTTTTTTTTTTTTTATTGAGAAAAATAAAATATAGAAACATTAAGCTCTGGTTTAGAATGATAACTAAGGATCTGAGGAAGAGGGGTAAAAACCTATTATGCAAACAAAATAAAACAAAATCCAGAGCAAAGAAAGACTAAGTAATAAAGAGTTTTACTTTCTGCAGTAAACTGAAGTTCATAGCTTCTCAGTGCCTAGACCATTATGGTACTAAACACACAAAACAAAACTCCTTCCGCAGAGAATCTAAGGAACATAAGGAAAGAGAGACCATTAAGGCCTTTCCCCGACCACCTGATCATTGGATCTGTGGGACCTGTACATCGCACTTTAGAAAGGACCATCTCTCAGAGTCCACATCTTGACTCAATGCTCCCTTAGGCCTAGATCTTGGCAGGGTCCCCACTTCAGCAGTCAGCCATTAGAGTGTGCAGGTCCATTTGTCCGATCTCAAATGAACACCTGGTTCTTCCTTCCCACAGGCCTCAGGTACAGGCAGCTTTGGTTTCCTTTATAGCCACTGCCCCCTACAACTTGAATTCTGCTCTTCCCAGACCCAACATGACCCAACAACAGGACATAGTATATGAATTCGTGATTCCTGGTAAATTTAGAATAGATTCCTAGCACCAACAGACTGAAGAGAAGTGCTTTCAAATCTGAAAAGGTTTCCGTCATGCTTTGAGTTTCTTTTCTTTTCTTTTCTTTTCTTTTCTTTTCTTTTCTTTTCTTTTCTTTTCTTTCTTCTTCCTTTTTAATCCTATCATATATTTGTATGGCCACTGACGTTTATGAAATATGTGCGACGTTTATGAAATATGTGCCCATGGATTGTCCAGCTTGACTCTCCACACTCTGCCCTGTGTCCTTTGCTCTGTGAGGTAGTCAGTAGTATTTCTCTCTAATGCTCTAGGATCAGTACAAACAGGCTCTATTCCTGGTTCTCTGGCACCATCAAGTGGCCAAAGATCTCACAGAGCCTCCTGAGGAGTAACCAAAAGACATCCCAGGATATGGGTCTGGGTCAGGCCAAACTGGCACCAGCCTCAGCGGGTGACTGCATGTTCCCCATTCTCCTCATTCTCACCAAGGTCTGTGGAAAGCAAGGAGGGAAACAGTCCGCTGTCAGGCATAGTACCGTTCAAGAGAAACAAGACTTGCTAGGTAGCTCGGCTTTCTTCAGAGAAAGGAAAAAATTCATCTGTCAGGTTCATGGAGGTGTGGGGAGCAAGACGAGGCCAGAACTACTACAACTATTGCTGTTGTAAGACCTTACTACTGTATAACATACAAGCCACCTTTTTCATTCCTGAGACCAGCCCACAGCTCTCAGCAGCAATGAAAGAGCTGGTGGCTCCCTCCTTCGTAAGATACTTTCTTGTTCTGACTTCCTTGACATTGACCCTCTTGGTTTTCCTTCTTCTTTGGCCATTCTTATGGTCTTCTTTGCTCCTTTTATGCCTATCATCTAAAGGTTGACGTGTTTCAGAGCCTGGTTCTGGGTTCTTTTCTCTTCTCTACGGATATATATATATATATTTTTTAATCCTCACCCGAGGATATTTTTCCATTTTTTGTTCAGATAGAGAGGGAGGGAAAAAGAGAAAGGGAGAAACATCGACGTGAAAGGGACACATCGAGTGGCTGCCACCCACATGACCAACCAGGGCCGGGGACAAACTGCAAGCGAGGTACGTGCCCTTAGCGGGAACCGAACTCGGGTCTCTCTGGACCGCAGGCCGACGCTCTAACCACTGAACAAAACCGGCCAGGGCTCTGCGGATATTCTTTCTCTGGATGATCTTACCCTGGCTTCATGTAGCTCCTATATGCTGATGCCTCCAAGCCAGATGTATCTGTCCTGACTTCTTTCTGAGCTCTAAGTTCATCCATGCAAAATCTGGTAGCTATTCTCAAATCTAACAGGTCCTACCAAATTCTTGATTCTCTTACACACTGGCTCTTCTCCCCAACTTCACAATCAATAAATAGCACACTACCCACCTACTTACTCAAGTCCCAAACCCGGCAGCCACCCTGAATCTTCTTTTGTCTTACCTTCCAAATCCAATGAGTTAGTCTTGTCAGTTTTACCTCCACATATATTCTGTCACCTCGCCTCCACTAATGCCACCCTAATTCAAGTTACAATCTGCTGTCTAGTGCAATAGCTAACTGGTCTTACTTGCTGTGCTAAGGTTTCTGAGATGTGCTAACCCTCCCCTCCATCCAGTACCATCTCTCCTCCTGGGGTCCTGACCTTCCAATGAGGGTCACGCTGGCTTTGGATCTGGTACCTTCTCCCAAGCATTCCCACCCCTACTCTTCTACACACACTTGTGTTAAAAGTTGACCCCTCTGTGGTTTTCTTTCCCAGAGGAGATGCCAGTAAATACAGGGGCTCTCTATTGGAGTGTTTTCATGCATGTGATGTCCCCAGGGAAGAATATTCCAGATACAGATAAGGGACACCTAAGAAGAGTCCTTGGGGACCAAGAGTTCAGACTACAAGTCATTTAGGCCAATGCCTTTACTCTGGAGGCCCAAAGGTGGGGGGACATGAACAGGGGCACACAACCATTAACAGGCAGTGTCGCGAGTAGTGCCCAAGCTACTAATTACACTGTGTTCTCTGCTGGTCACTATCAATTTGATCCTTAACTTTTCCCATATTATTCTCAAATTTCAGTATAATTTACACTGAATTGAAAATACCCATTTATAGTTTGATGGGTTTTGACAAGTGTAGATACCCATATAGTTACCGCCACAATCAAGATAACAGACCATATCTGCCGCTCCAGAAAGTTCCCTCTCCTTTGCAATGAACTTCCCTCCACTTCCAGGCAACCATGACCTGATTTCTATCACTACAGATGAATTTACCCATTCCCGGACCTTACTGACAGGGAGTCATTCAGTGTGACTCTTCCGTGTCAGGCTTCTTTCACTTGAGCCTGTGAGTTGTTATCCACGTGACTGTGTTTTCAGCAGTTCATTCCTTTCCATTGTTGAATAGTATTCCATGATATGGATAAACTACGATTTATTTATATATTCACCTGTTGGTGAACATCTGGGTTGTTTCCAGTTTAAGACTATTAATAACAAAGCTGCTACAAATGTGTATACAAGCCTTTTTGTGGACCTATGTTTCCTTCTGTGTACATATTTAAGGGCCACATGGTATGCATTTAACTTTTAAGAAACTGGAAACTGCTAGTCAATTTTCAGATTTTAAAAATTAGCTCATCAAATTGCTTAAAAGTTTTATCTCAGTAGATTTGGTTAAGAAACTTCCTAAGTTTCTCTGTCAATGGCAAACGGTGGCTGGGTGGTCAGGGTGTCTCCTATCAAACAAACTGGGTAGGAAACAGCCAGCCTCCCTTTCTGACCTCCTGCTCCTGTGTTTGAAGGCAGGGTTTCAGGGGCGAGCACCTCATGGACTGAAGCCTGGGTGCAGGGAGTGGTTATCTGCACTCAGTGACACGAAAGGGATTATTTGCCAGGGGCTGACACTGGCACAAGGAACAGTTATTTATTTTTTTAAATGTATTTTTCCATTGCAGTTGACATACAATATTACATTAGTTTTAGAAACAGGTTTTATATTATGGAAGTCTTGGAGCCTGCTGAGGGAAGAGAGTGGTGACAGAGCCCTCTGACCTTCCCAAGACTGGAGCCTGTCCCAGGCCTGTTTGGGCTCCTCGGCTGACTGCAGAAGAGGGAAAGGAAGAACGTCATCTCCTTTGATCTGTGCTGTTTCCCTCACTCCAAAGCACTGACCTTTACCAGATGCCCACAGAGCTCTGAACAGGATTTATTATTTTTCCTGGGGAATGGGAATAAAGGGCTCTTCCCGATTACATCATGGGTTATGGACACTTCCATGGAGGAGAATTGTGTTTTGGTTTTTTTTTCCCCCATTAAAACTTTGAGATACTATAATTACCACTGACTTAAAAGCTGACAGTGATAAACTTTTATAGATTATCTTTTCAACTTCTGGATAAAATTAAATAGTTTATTTAATGTCCCGAGGATACACTATTCGAAGCAGCATTTTCATCTGAAAATGTATGTGCTAGCTTCCTAATGTGAGGACAAAGTAAACAGAGCTTGCCTTCATCTTGTTCCCTTCGGTGGAGGTGATCTGTGCCCGTAACCAGGCGTCCTCCTCGACGCTGACAGCCAACAGCTGCCCCACATGCACAGTCTGGACCGGGGTGATCCTGGGGTTCTTGCTGTAATACTCCTTCATTTCATCTTCCATTAATTCCTGAGCAGCAGAGTAGTCTTTACCCACATACCTGAGTTAGTTAAAGGAAGAGAACACAAATGAAGCAATGTAGGAGGAGGCAATCTATAAGAATTCCTTAATATCTCTGTTTGTACTGCCATCTTAGGTTCCAGTCTCAGATTAGCTTAAATCAACAGGGAGAAGGACATGTTAATAGCAAATGTTTATATCTCAGTAAAAGAAAATATAACATTGTGGTGCTTATGCAAAAATGAACAAGGTCTAATACACCACACAATAGAGCAAAAATGCTCTATGACAATCCAGCAGTTAGGGTGCCTTCAAGAGGCTGAGGCTGAGAAAAGACTCCAGGGAAGGGAAGGGAGGAAGACACGGATGATGGAGACTCCAATGTAGGCGAGACAGCAAGAGTGGACAGAAGATTTTGACCAAGGCTGCTGGAGATCTTTGCAGATTACTGGAGTAAATCTAGTGGATAGTTTTGTCTTACCTCAGGCTGCGTCTAAACAAGGCCCAAGCTCTAAAAACTACTGACATTTTATTAGAGAAAAACAAAGCTGTAAACACTAAACACAACCATGTGACAATCCCTCCCCAACTTACTGAACACATTTGAACACACACAACAAAATGTTGAGTTCTGATACCCTTAGAAGGGATAACAAGGTATATAGCAAATTGCCTTGTACATTGTATGCTTTATGAGAAGTGTCTGCTCAGTATATGTTCCTATTTCCTTCTACAATCTTCTGCTGCAGACAACTGCAATCACCTTGTCCCAGTTCGTGGCATCAAAACACTATTTCCTCTCTGCTGCAAACAGACTGTTGTATTTTTGCCCTTCAGTCCTCAGAGACAATTCCACCAGAGGCCTCCTTCCTGGATGTACAACCTGGTAAATCAAGTGTGGCTCCTGTAACAGGAGCTGTGTCAGCCATGTGATGAAGGCTTTCTAGCTAGAAGGCTATGCTCTCACCTGGCCAGGGAGATGGGGGATATGTCTGTCGTAAGTACACTGTTCTTTGTATTGTTCTAGCTTTTACCTTGAGCCCAGGTCCTACTGAGCATTAAGATTAAAACACTCACTTTAGGAGTGTTTTCATGTATTCTTGGTAATTATCAGCAGAGCAGAAGATACCACAGTCAACCTATTCATTACTAGAGAAAAATAAGCTTTAAAAAGTCCTACACAAAAGGGAAAGAATGCCTCTTTTGAGGCAACAACCATTGTTAAAACCAGCTGCTGCATGCATTCTGTTCACTCCAGAGACAGCGCTAGAGCTTGGTCACACTGATTGTCTGCGTTTACTGAGCTTACAAATGTTCACATACTGCCAGGAATTCAGCGGCACGCGTGGCTCTGAAGTCTCCTAGAAGACCTATAATCCTGCCCAATGCCCATTTCCTGGGACTGGAGTCTCACGGGGCTTCGCTGCAGTGCTGCTCCAGCCCTGGGAGCTCCCTGGCAGAGGCTGGAACAGAGCCCTGGGGTTTAGGCTTCTGCCTCGCACAGGCTCCTGCTACGGAGGAGGAAGGTGGTGAGAAGCGGCATGTGATCTGCAGGCAGATTCTGCAGCAACCAGGGGAGAAGGACCACTACACGGCTTGGTGGAGTAGGGGGATGACGTTACAGTTGGTATGATAGTGGTTACTGGAAAGAATGAGGTCATAGATTGTCCCCAAATTATCTGAGCAAGCAGGCAAAGAATGTATGTAGGACAATTCAGGTATGCTACATGTACAAAGTTAATTTTTGAGACTGGAGACAACATCCCATACTTGACCTAAGGGTTCTGCTACAGCACCTTTCTGGACTCTTCACCAGTCACAGGCCTAGTTTCCAGAACTTACTGCCTTGCCTGAGTGAAGATGTGAGTGTAGAACAGGTCTCAGCCCAGCTGGGATGTGCTAAGTCTCCAGGGCAGTAGGAGATACCAGTGATCTGGGGTCAACCCTAGATGGCAGACACTGCCCATCTGCTGAAATGTACAGTGCTAACTCCAGGATGCAGGTTTACACTGGAAAAGGGATCTAAATAATCTGAGGGCCTAGTAATCCTGGAATAAATTGGAACCTTCCTACTGAAGTCCTATAGAATTGATCCAGATTCCTGCCAACCCTTTGGTAAGAATATCAGAAATCACATGATTGATCCAGCCTAGTGCTGGGTGCTTGGCCTCTGACAATGGCACCAGTGGCTACTGGCAACAGATACCAAAGGATCCTGCCAAACAGACAGATTCAGGTTTTTGTTTTTTGTGTGTGTGCATCTGTTTTTTGCTTTTTTTAAAAAAATCATATCAAATGGTAAAAGTTAGTCATATGTTCCTCAACATCCTTCCTTTACCTCAATTTATTAGTGAACCACAGTGGGATCCCTTACCCTTAGCTACCTATTTATATCATCAAGTCATACCACATCTTAGAATAAAACCTTTATCCATTTACTACCCTTGCATAAAACATGACCTCCCTAAAGTCTCTATACATTCTCCTAGTTGGAGCATCCCAAGATACTTGTTCTCATTTCATTATCCATTCAGACTTAGTTTATTCAACCAGAGAGCTTTTTAATATTTTTTATTTATTCTTTCATTGAAGGACTTAATTTCTTGTAGCCTTTCTTTGGGCCTTTTCTGCGCGGCTATGATTCTTTGGAGGAGTAACTGCCCAAACCATGAGGACAACTTTGATGAAAAAGCCTGGATTCTGCTCTGCTTCAGCCTTCTCCTGCGTTGTCCAGCCATAGCCACACCTTAAAGCTGACACCTCCAGAGATCCAGCTACACCAATTCCCATTTTTTACCCTGAGTCAGAAACTGCAAATGACAGTCTTCCAATATCTTCAATGTACTCTATATTTTCTCCAAAACTCCATGTCAAGTGCCTGGAGCTGAACTGCTTTCTGTAATTCCAGTTATCATGAGCCACTCAAGTAATGAATCCTCCTCCCAGGCAATGATATCAAACGGCTCAAGAACCAGAGCACCTTTGGGTCCAAGGTCTAATCTGATGTATTATACTAGGAAGGTGGTGCTTAGCTATTTTTACTTTTAGGAAATGCCACAAAGTCCCAGATTCAATAGCATAAACTACCTAGTGGGCAACGCTTTTTCTATGAACTAGGTATCACTTTGACATAGTTACCATTATGCTTTTGACATAGATTTTTTTCAAGTTCAGACCATATTATCATTTCAGTTTTTAAAATTGTTAGAAATCTTTTCTCACAAGAATAGTATACATTTTGAACATTTAACAAACATTAGGAACATATGTAGAGATTAATTTTTTAAGCATTTTGATTTCAAGATGCTCACCATCTAGTGGGTGAGACAAATGTACTAATATAACCATAATGTAGAAGAAATAAAAATTAAGTCTCCTAAGAGATAAAAACAAAAAAAATTCTGACAGTTGAGAGAAATGTGCAAGATATAAAGAAAAAAGAATGTATTATTATACTTCATTATAACTCTATAGAACTTAGAATATATTATTATTCCTCAACCCCCAGCACCCACGTGAAGAATAAGCAAGTAACAACAGTACACCAAGATCCTAAAAAATTATAAAATAAAACTTGCCTGATAACCACTTCATTTGTGTTGCTCAGTTCAACCACCAGTACTGATGGGGATGCCTCAGTTGGAATGACTAACGGAGGAACTGTTATATGCTCCATAACGGTATCGGTGTTTTCGACAACATTCTTTTCTATCTGCAAATATTCTTGTTCAATCGTAGACTTAACAGCATAATCGCCATGTGCTTGCCCTGTATCTTTCAGGACTTTGTCAGTGGGCAATGGAAGGTTAGCATAGAGAATGGCCTTCTTGGGGTTTCCACAAATATAGTCTATGGTGCAAACATCAGAAAGCGAGGCAAGATTTTTTAAGGCATCCTCGGGGAATTTTACTTTGTACATGTCCTCAAATGCTTTTGGAAGTGCACTGGCCCAAAGACCATTTGAGTATTTCACCAACAGCTCCGCAACTTTCCCTTTAAAGTCACCTGGCATAACTGTGGGACACCCTTCCAATGGTGGTATTTGTTTTGGAGCAGGTAGTGGAGATGGAGGCACTCTTTCAGGGTCCAGTTCACTTCTCAAAAGCTGCTTTCTCTTAGCTGGATAAAGAAGCAAGTCTTGACCACCACTGTAAGGTTTTTCCACCTGAAAGTTTTAAACAAAGCAAATGACAGATTATTCAATGACTATAAACAATCTGAAAACACATTTTAAATTTGAGAGCAACACTATTTTAAAATGAATCAAGAGAATACAAAAGTGTTCATTTTACTCAACTACTAAGACTTTAATGCATTGCCTTTACCTGCAAAAAACACCATGAACCATATTTCAGACATAAAACAGCGTCAACTTCCCTTGTGAGGCATCTGGCCTCCAACAGCCCTAGGAAACCATGCTCTACCCTGTATACCGCGTATCTCATTCAGCTCTCTTTGCCAAATCCCAAAACAGTATACAAAACTAACTGAACACAAGGGGTTGAAGCTTTGAGGAGGTGACAGAATTGTCGGAAATAAAACACTTCACACTGTATAGCTTAATACATTACACTGCTGTACAGTGTTGTTAACACCTAAGGCAGTGACTGGTACATGCAGGTGCACTGTAAATGGTGTATGAACAAGGATGGGTAGCTGAGGGAATGAATCTTGCCTGGAAAGTGCTTGGGACTCAAATGGGTGTCAGTGGCCTGGAGGAAAAAGTGGTTACAAAAAGATATGCTATCTTTAGGTCAGGTATTTATAAAGAGGGAGTGGTCTACACTTTGCCCAACAGGGCTTAGAGCCAAAATATATATTAAATTAAATAAGTGAAAGCTTTCTATCAAATACTAATTATCATGCATATTTAATTCTACAAACTTAGAAGCAACAATAGCAATGCTATTGCTACCATTTAAGAGTTATGTTGTTGAAGCTATTTTGTGTAAATAAAGCATTAAGAAACATCTAAAGGTTACTCTGGTTTAAAAATCTAGTCATCTCTTTCTGGCTGAACTAAGATTTCTAATAAACTATTCTGATCCATCATTTTATAATAGATTCTCAGTATGAATGTGTATAAAAATCGATGTCAACTCACTTTTCAATTTTTTTCCAAAGAATTTTGTAAAAATTTTAAATCTGAACTCTATATTAATTTTTAAAATAAAAATAAGGTATTTTATAAATAATTAAAATAATATATTACATATTTAGTTTTTATTAGTTATATTAGTATTATTATATATAATATATATTAGTATCATTATATATAATAATATATAGTTATATTGGTAATATATCATATAACAAAATAACTAAAATTTGTTCAGTTGAATATCTTTAAAAATGCTCAGGAACAAGCATATAAAATTTGAGGCTAATACAAAATGTTTTATTACCACTAAGTTCATTATTAAATGGCAAAGCTATCAGTATCTATTGATAGCAGCTCAATACAAAATGGTATACCTTTTATCACATATTACATGAATAATTTAAAACAAAATATAAAAACAGCAATTATAACACACATAGTCCTTAACCATTAACATACTTCTTCTATGAATAAGAACACATATGTGTTAATCTTAGACATAAAGATTAATGAAGCAATATTATGTAAAGTACTTCATGCTCTCTGGATAAAAGGTGATATGACTAATAACCCACATCTGAAGGTAGAGGCATCAGGAGGAAGGAATAAGGAGAAACGTACCGTGCAAATATGAGGCCAGTGCTCACACTGTTGTAAAATTCCTTGACTGAGTTCTTCTTTATACAACTCTTTGTAAAAATGTGGAAGCTTAGACATCCAAATGCCATTGTTATGCTTGTTTAGCATTTCCTTTATGCGGTTTTGAACCTCATCCATTTTATAAGTGTAAGAGGCAGGAGGCGTGACATTTGGTTTTTCAACAATCTGATTTAAATTATCTTTAAATTAAAAAAATGATAGAATTAACCAAAATGCTTAATTTAGATTATTCCCACTGCCTAATAATTGTGTCTTTAGGCTCTGTCATACTTCAGGCTGGACCAAGGGATTTAGAAGGGAACAGTATTAGACAAAGCAGGACCAGGACAACTTCATTCCAAGTTATAACCATGAAATAACCAGCAGGGTCAACAGTCACCCAGAGAGGGAAACTAGTCTCTTTATTTTGCAAGAGTACTTAATTTAATTTAAACATCAGAATAATCGTGCTTCATAAAGAATAATGAAACTTATTATTTAACTAGTCATTTTCTAACTGCAACCAAGGAAGGTTAAATTTTAGACAATCATGGTTTATATGAAATGCTGAATTTAAAGCTATATTCCACAAGGCATGAGGATAATGCCTTAATAGTAAGATCAAAGAGCATTTTGTAAAAAATAATAAATTGTCCAGCTTTTAAGATATGATCAATTTTATCCTTTATTGAAAAAAATAATTTAGAAATACACAGAAATTTTTAAAAATGATCCATTTACAATAATCATTCTAGCCTCAGTTTATAAATGTAAATAAAAGGTTTGAAGGCCACAGATAACTATTAACTATTTGTTTTTATTTCCCTAATTCATAACATTTATCTTCCATGTGACTATAAAGTGTTGACTAGCAGCTCTCTTACTCATTTATTTTTTTATTTAAAATTTAGAGTGATTGCCAGCTGGTGTGGCTCCATGAATTGAGCATCATCCCATGGACTGAGAGGTCCTGGTTTGATTCCCAGTCAAGGCGCATGCTAGGGTTGTGGGCTTGATCCCCAGTAGGGGGCATGCAGGAGGCAGCCGATTGATGTTGCTCTTTCACATCAATGTTTCTATCTCTCTCTCTCCCTTCCTCGCTCTAAAAAATCAATAAAACATATTTTTTAAAAATTTAGAGTGCCTGAGTTGACATCCTAAGACAATAAAAAAATTTTGAATATTCACAATAGCTGACAGTTCTGGTATTTTAAGAACTATGAAATTCATTCCAAATCTTATTTAAATTTTACTGGAATACAGTAAATTTTACTTTAAATACAAGTCAGAGTATTTAAAAAATTACCAACTACAAGCAAACTATGTTCATATTTTAATTTTTTTTACTCTTCTCCTGAGGACTTTTCCATTTATCTTCAGATAGAGTGGGAGGGGGGAAGAAAAAGAGAGAAAGAAAGAGAGAGAGAGAGAGACATCAATGCAAGAGAGACACATCGATTGGCTGCCTCCCACACCACTCCAACTGAGGCCAGGTACTGAACCGCAACCCGAGCCCTTGACCAGCATTGAACCCGCGGCTCTTCTGCCCGTGGGCCGATACTCTAACTGCTAAGCCAAACTGGCCAGGGCTATGTTCATATTTTAATCATCTAGGATTTCTGCTGGGATTCAACAATTTTAATTGTATTTTAAACTGCCTGGTATAGACACATAGGCTCATTTGGGAACTGGCCTCAGAGAAGGCCAGAAAGCCAAAGGGAGAGCTGTTCTTGAGGATGGCTGGATGCTGACAGCTTTGCCCACCGCAGGGCGTGAGACCTAACCTTGCTGAGACTTAGTTTGGCTCAGCAAACAAAAGGGCCCATGATGCCCATCTAAGTTTCCTATTAAAGGCAGAGTTAATTTATTTAAGTTCTTCCCAAATGATATAAAAAAACTAGAAAAAAAGATGAGTTTCTCAGAACTGGCCAGACCCCACTTAGAGTGTGTCAGCAGCTGATGCACAGTTGGAGCCTTTGCAAACACACCTGCTCCGTGGGGCCTCTGGAGTCATCTAAGCTTCTGTACCTTTTGTTAAACAAATCAAGGAAATAACCTAGGCTGTCAGCAGGCAGAAGAGGTTGTATATAAGTGTGCACACAAGACACTTGTGTTCCTTACCAGCCTCTCACTCATTAGAGGGTAAGATTTAGTATACATACATATGAAACTTAAACTCATAAAATAGTTTCTGATACTCCATTTATTTTTTAATTATTTTTAAAATATGTTTTTATTGATTTTGAGATAGAGAGGAAGCGAGAGAGAAAGAGAGAGGGAAACATCGATTGGCTGCCTCACATATACACCCCAACTGGGGATCAAAACTGTAACCTGGGTAACTGCCCTGACCAGGAATCAAACTGGTAACCGTTCAGAGTATAGGACATGCTCAACCAGGCCAGGGCAATACTCCACCATTTAAAGGCTGGGACCCTAACCTGTATGCAATGACCACTAAGCATCTAAATATGAAAACAAATGATTCCTCAGGTTATAAACTCCAAAAGGTCTGTTAAGGAAACAAAAGATGGCCCGGCTGGTGTGGCTCAGTGGTTGAGCATCAACCCATGTACCAAGAGGTCGCCAGTTCGATTCCCGGTCAGGGCACATGCCCAGGTTGTGGGCCAAATCCCCTGTAAGGGGCACGCAGGAGGCGGCCAATCGATGTTCTCTCTCATTGGTGTTACTATCTCTCTCTCCCTCTCCCTTCCTCTCTCTCTAAAATCAATAAAGAAAAAAAATTTAAAAAAAGAAAACAAAAGATGCATATCACCTGCCAGGTGAACTGCAATCCTCCTGAATAAGTCCCTTTGGTTCTGCAGGAAAAGTTTATTCTAATTTAAAAGGATTTATAACTTCTAAACGGTATACAACTTGACTGAGTACAGTAGTCAAGATTCAGAAAATGCATATATAAAAGTAACTGACATAAAATTAATATTGAATTTCTATAAATAAAATTGGAGATGTGTTCTTAAGGAAAAAATGATTTCAACTCAATAAGAATCACACTTAAATCAGCAACTCCTTCAAAATCACATTGAAATTTCATACAACATAAGTGCTAATTCTGAAAACTGTTGTGTCCCTCAGGTGGGGCTATAAGCAGGGATTTACACCTTGGCTGGAGGAGACAAGATGACTCAGTACATTTGTAATCTTCAGATTCTTTGACTTTATATTTTGTCTCCAAATGTTTTCTTTTTTAAATATGTTTTTAGAGAGAAAGGAAGAAAGAGAGAGATAGAAACATCAATGTGAGAGAAAAACATCCATTGGCTACCTCCTGCACACCCCCTACTGGGGATGGAGACCGCAACCTCAGGCATGTGCCCTGACTGGGACTCGAAACAGGACCTCTTAGTCCACGGGATGATGCTCAAGCCACTAAGCTACACTGGCTGGGCTCCAAGTGTTTTCTTAACAGTCCTCTTTGGAGCTTATAACCCAAGGAATCATTTATATTCATATTTAAATGCTTACTTGTCATTGCATAGTTTAGGGTCCCAGCTTTTGAATGGCAGAGTATCTGAAATAATTTTATAAGTTTAGATCCCATATTTATGTACTTTAAATCTTACCCTTAGTGAGTGAGAGTGATGAGGAACATGAGTATCTCTGCAGGTGACACATGAAATTGAAACAGAATAGGTCTGGTGTGAGGTCTCAAGTCAGAATAATGATGATATCCTTGGAGCTATTATTTTCTCTTCAGATCACTTCAATTTATAACTTACAGAAATTAGGAAAGAGAGGAGGAGAGATATATTCCAAGCAGAAGAAGGTCAGAGCAAATGTCAAAAGTCATCACCAGATAGTTTTTTTTGGGTTCTGAGGCTCCAGAAGCCAAAATGTATCATAAAGCTAATGTTTAGAAAACATACCACTCATTTCCTTAGTACAGGTTCTTGAGAGATGCATCTGAAAAGGTGGTGGAAGGGATGCTTTTGGGCTAAACCTAAGTTATAAAAATAAAAAAATTAAATTAAAATTAAAATTGTGAAGTTAATAACAAGTTTTAAATACTATACTTTTCATTAAAGTTTCTGTGGCATTGAACAGTAAAACAAGTCACTGAACTATTTGAAAATGAGCTGAAATGAAAATATACCTGATTTCAGCTTTCATGTTTCATATTCATCCTAAGAAAATGTATTAAAAGCTAAATTTAATCTAGGACTATAATTTAAACTAGGATAGCACGTGGTAAAATTGGCATTTTCAACCAGAGAGGAGATTGCTCAAATAAGTACTTAGAAAAAAATAAACTGATGTTCTCTCTGATCAATGTTTCTCTCTCTCTCTCCCTCTCTTTAAAAATCAATAAAGAAAAAAATTAAAACCCTTTGCCTAACTTAAAAAAATTAATTCTTTCTAAATATTTTGTATTGGGGTGGGAGGGTGCCTGTGTGGGAGGAAACTATCTTTTACACAAAATGGAATTTTTGAATATGAAATTAAAGGAATTTGACAAAACAAAATTTGTTTTGAAAAGGCACAAACATATGGAAGAAGGTAATACTGATTCATCTGTATCAGGAGTTGGCAAACTTTTTCTGTAAAGGGCCCTATAGCACATATTTTAGGCTTTCCAGGCCACTGTCTCTGCACTACTACCCAGCTCTGCTGTTGTGCAAAAACAACCCCAAACAATACAGAGACAATGGGATGTGGCTGTGTTCCTGTAAAACTTTATTTACAGACAATAGGCAATGGGTTCGATTTGACCTATGGGTCATAGTTTGCTGACCTGAATGACCTTATCAGAGGCAGAAGGAAATTTGAGATCACCTAGGTAACATTGTCACTGGACAAATGAGGACACCATGGCCTCAAAAGATGAAACAATTTCACTTACTTCCCCTGGCTTGTGAATGGCAGCATCCACACTCAAGACTTCGAGGCTGTGTTATTACTGCCAGTCCAGTATTCTGATGTATGGATATATTATGCTACTGTATAATTATGGGTTGAGTTCTGGAGCACAGTCTAGTGTGCAAACCAATCAGATTCTATTTAAAACTTACAAAATGTATTATAAGAAAGATTCTCAGAAAAAGTTGTAAGTTATGTTGAAATAGCATCTTCAAACAGTTTGTAAGAGCTTTTTTTTTTTTTTAATCCTCACCTGAGGACATTTTCCCATTTTTTGTTCAGACAGAGTGGGAGGGAGAGAGAAGGAGAGAGAGAGAGAAGAAGAAGAGAGAGAGAAAAACGTCGATGTGAAAGGGACACATTGAGTGGCTGCCTCCCGCACGACCCAACCAGGGCCGGGGACAAACTGCAACCGAGGTACATGCCCTTAGTGGGAACTGAACCCAGGTGGTCTCTGACCCCAGGCCGACGCTCTATCCACTGAGCAAAACTGGCCAGGGCTGTGAGAGCTTTTAAAATAAATTTTGCAAGTATTACCAAAAATGTGGAGAAAATATAAAATGGAGATATTCAGAGAAATACACTCACGTAGCTGGGAAAACTGGACTTACTAGTAATGATGCATTTCTTTACTACATATGAACTTACATTAGATAAAACAAAGTATTCCCTTCTTACCCTGAACATACATTTTTAACATTTATTATCCTAGCTTCATTTAACTTCTTTTAGCCAGACAAAGCACAAATACCTGTTGTTGGTAGGCATGGTCACATGCCTTTGCACTGGAACGCCTTTGAATACTTCACTTCCAACATGTGTGTGCAATGTATAAACCGGTATTTCAGCATCAGACTTAACTCCAAGAGAGTTTCCTTTGTCTCTTGACAGTGTTGGATTAGGCTTTTTGCCGATACAGAAATCTGAAGAAAATCCTGGTTGTCTGAGAGTTGCTTTTGGTTTTCCTATGAAGTTAGACATACAGAATGGAATCAATTAGCTTCCCAAAACCCTAGTTTCACTATGTCACTCCCCTGTCCAGATGTTTTCTGTGGGTCTCTATTCTCAGAGCAGTATATAAGAACGTGAGGAAGCTGCCACTTGAGGGTTGATCAGTAGGGGAAGAGTAGCTTGGTGAGTATTTAGTAGATGAGTTTCTTCAGAATGTGGTTTCACCTACTAGACTAGCCAGTTACTTTCCCTCTACATACCAACTAACACTTCAGTGGCAGCCACCTCATGTTCTCACAAAGGCAGCACAGTCCACCATACCTCAGTCCTCCATCTCTTCTCCATCAATTTAAACTCTTCCCGTCATCTGAAGTCCGGGTTCAAGTCTCCTCTTCACTGTAAAGCCCTCCACTGCCATTCTCAGTCACCTAAAATGCTCTCTGTGGCATTTAGGCAACTACTTTTTTGAAATTTATTGAGGTAACATTAGTTCACAAAACCATAGCTTTCGAGTGTACAACTCAACAAAACATCATCTGCATACTGCATCGTGCACCCATCGCCCCAAGCAAAGTCTCTTCCCATCCCTATTTCCCCCTTTTTGCCTACCTCCACCTACCCCCACCCCCTTTCCCTCTGGCTATCACCACACTGCTATCTGTGTCTATGTGTTTTATATATATATATGTTTTTTTGCTTAATCCCTTCACCTTCTTTCATCTGTTCTTTTTTATTACACTGAACTTTTTCTTAAGAATTTAATTTAGAACTGATTATAAGCTCCTTGAGAAGAGCTGCCTATATAACTTATCTGCATACTATATAATTCATATTTTTTTAAATAGAAGATTTATACTAAAAGACATGACTTGCTAAATAAGACATTAAATCATAGGTTTTTGGTTCATCCCACAAATAATCTAAAAGAATAAAGCCACATTTTGCCATAAACTTAATTAAAATCTACTGAGTTATCTCACACTGAGTAATTCATTTAGTAAGTCATGCTCGTCATGTTCATTTACTTTCAAATGGAAATACCTGCTTAAGGATTTCACCCCTGACATATGAATGTCAACAAGTATAAGTGTTTATCATGAATACAAGCATAATTTCCATAATTCCATATGTCAGTGTATTCATGAACAGGTTTACATTTTTTAGCATGTGAAAAGACCTTACCCTCTAGAAAAAATGGCATGGTTTTCTTTACTCTCATCTGACAATTAACTTGCCGTCCAGTTTTCCTCTTGGAACTCCTCTGACGAGCCACAAGCTGAGCGATTCTTGCAGTTTCTGTGCAGGCCACAGCGTAACAGGTAGTCTATTCATGACAGGCAAAGTGAAAGGAGAAACATTTCTCAGATTCACTGGTGCCTAGAGGCCAATTTTTAAAAAATTATCTTTGTTGTTGAGAGTGTTACAGATGTCCCCCATTTCTCCCCCACTGCCCACCTCCACCCAGTTCCTGCCCCACCACAGGCCTTCACCACACTATTGTCTGTGTCCATGGAATATGCATATATGAATATAAATTCTTTGCTTATTCTCTGCTCACCCCTCTTCCCCCCTTTCCTCTGAGATCCATCAGTCTGTGCCATGCTTCCATGTAAAGGCCAATTTTTAAAAGTAGATCTTAGTGAGTTTATATGTCCCAAATTAAACTGTATGCAAATATTCATGTCCCTCTCTCCTTGATAATGTTAGAGTAGAATTATATTCTCTACAGATAAATCAAGCACAATCTAGCACACTGAATAATCTTTGCTTAAACTGAAAATTTCATTTATTCCTTAAACAGGCATTTATGAAGCATCTACAATGTGCTAGGTAGTATGGGATTAACAAATGAGCCAAAAGAAACTTGTGTTCTACACATATTATCTCATATAATCTGTGAGATATATTTTATTCCATTTTATACAACAGGAAAACAGAGGTTTAGGAAAGTTAGCAATCCTTCCAAGTCACACAGCTAGGTTCTCTCTCTGAATCCAATGTAGGTACTCATAATTGCTACACTGCATTACCTATCAAAGATCACTAAATCCTGGTCTTGCCACTACACAGATTAACTGGATGATTTAGGGAAAATAGTTTATCTCCCTAATTCTAGGTATTTGCAGCTGTAAAATAGACTTTTACAGGGCTTAGTCTTGGGGTTTTCACACAGTTCAATAGAGCCATAGAGTTCCATGGAGCGCCTCAGGGGCCTCGCCGTGGCAAGCGTGGGAAGGTTAGGCAGAGCAAGTTGAAAGCTGGGACCCTCTGCTGCTGCTTAAAACACAGCAGCTCAGCTAATTATCTTTTTAAAAAGTTGGTGTGACATATAGGATATTTGAAAAAAATATCTGACAAAAGTAGGTAGATTGTTAGGACTAGATGATCTCTGAAGCCATCTAGTATGTAAGTCTTTGATTCTAAGTTGAAATCAAGAACAGGAAAGCAAAAAACAAACCCAAACATGTTCCTATTCTTTGGCCCAGTATTTCTATTCCTGAAAATATGTTATGAGAATATAATTCAAAAGAAGAAAAAGTAACATACCCAAGTATGTGCAATAGGGGCTATTCTAATAGTTAAAACTTAGAAACATGTAAAACTTAGTAAAATGTCCAAAATAGAGAAATAAAGAATAAACCATAGCTTAGTAACTACATGAAACATTCATTTATTAACTCATTCAGACATTTTATCATTCATACATTCAACACATTTCTTAAGCACAAACTATTAGGAATGAAAAACAATCTCTCATCTTCAAGAAGCTTATGAAGGAAAGAGAGAGAAAGAGACTCCATAGAAAGCACTGTGTCAAGCAGTATGTTGGGCGTGTTACAAGGTGCTGAGTAGACAGAAAGGATGGCTTAAATCTCTCCGCGAGAATCAGGAATGTTGAAGAAAGTGTTATTATGAATATAATATTTAATTAATTTATACCTGCTCCTTATAAAAATAGTTACAGATGAGGTGGACCTCTCCTTTGACCACTCTCCTGATGCTGGGCCTCCTTCCTCCACTCACTGCCTCCCCTACCCACCGCAAACAGAGGAATAACTATACATTTTGGTGAGAAATATTTCATACTTGTTCTATGTATTTACATATATAGAAATGTACTCAGAAAAATACTGTACTTTGGGCAGACACCAAGAAGTGAAACTGCTGGGTCACAGGGTATGTACAAGTAAAACGTACTTGTTACCAACAAATTACCTATGTTATACATAAAATATTCTTCCAGAGAATATAAATATGAATATATAATATTACTCTAGAGAAATTAAAAGATTTGAACTCGTGGAATAATATGATCATATTGGTATGAAGGCAAGACCAGGCTAGAGAAGGAAAGACAGGGAGAACAGTAGGGAGGGCCCTGTAATGATCAATTAGGAAATTAAACTAGGGTCCAGATTGTAGAAATAGATATGAGTGAGACCAAATGATGAGAATTTAAAAGAGTCTGTTAGTTTGGTAATCAGGAAGTCATTTGTGAACCGGGGAAAAGAGTTGTAGCAGGTTCACAATAGGTGGGGGTGACATTTAGGCAGTTGATGTCTCCAGTACAGTTAATTTGTTGGCATGTTGAGACTGGAAAAACTTTAATTTTAAAATTTCTTATTTAATATGGTTGAAATCTCATTTTTACAATGGAAAGAATTTGAGGGGTGAACAAAAGTAATCAGAATTTAGGCTGTTCTTGGATGCTGTTGTTTTTTTTTAATCCTCACCCGAGGATATTTTTCCATTTATCTTCAGATAGAGTAGGAGGGAGGGAGGGAGGGAGAGAGAGTGAAACACTGATGTGGGACAGACACATTGATTGGTTGCTTCCCATACGACCCTGACCAGGGCTGGAGACTGAACCGCAACCGAGGTACTGTACATGCCCTTCATCAGAATCAAACCCATGACTCTTTGGTCTGCGGGCCAACACTCTAACCACTGAGCCAAACTGGCTAGGGTGGATGCTGTTCTTTCTATCACTACCAATCCCAAACCATTCAGCTAGTACTTTTTAAAAAATCCTCACTTGAGGATTTTTAAAAATTGATTTCTAGAAGAGAAGAAGGGAGGGAGGGAGGGGGGAGGGAGAGAGAAATAGAGAGAGAAACATCAATGTGAGAGAGAAACATCTACTGGTTGCCTCCCAAATGCACCCCAAGTGGGGACTGAACCTACAACCTAGGTATGTGTCCTGACCAGAAATTGAACCCACAACCTTTTGGTGTATGAGACAACACTCCAACCAACTGAGCCACTGACCAGGGCTTAGATAGTACTTTTCACTTTGAGTTCTATCACAGTTATGAGATTGAAAGGGCCACATAGGCAAGTAAGAATTGGTTTGCCTTTTCTGACATGCACAATTAACCCCTTACCTCACCAGATCTACTGGTCTCTATCCTGACAACTGCTGGCACACTTCTCAGATAGGCTTCCAGTGTAGGGTAACCTAACTGCTTGAAGGGGATCCAGTCTCCAGTCAAGGACTTGTATTCTCCTTGGAGCCGAGGCAATGCTATTCCATTCTTATGAGACTGCAGAACAGCTCGTAGCATTTTTGAAACCAGATCTGCTTCCAACATCTTCACCTACAAGAGCACAGCAGAAGATTACTGTGAGATGATTCATTAGCTTGTGAATTCAAGTAGATTTTCAGAGTTCAGTTTTGGGATTATTCCATAAATTGTTACTGGATACTTTCTGTGCTATTATAATACAGGGCAATAACTGTGATGGTAGAGACAAGTACAGCTATTATGAGAACACAGGAAGTGAGCAAGGCACAAAGACTAGCCTGCAGAGAGAAGATATCAGGGAATATTTCCCAGATGAGCGGAGGCCAGAATGGAAACCTAAAGGACAAGATGGAATCAGCCAGGCAAGAAAGAAAAAGGTATGTGTGAGGGCGGGGGGAGATGGAGCGAGGTATCAGCCCCAAGTAAAGGGAATAGAAAGTGCAAAAGGCACAGTGGTGAGAGAGAAGTTTACGGCTGGGTCTGGAAATTCTAGGAAGTAAAGTGGCTAGACATGACTGAACAAAGACTCTAAGCTAAAGACTGAAAGATAGGAGTGGGAGAGGTGGAAAGAGGCAGGCCCAGAAAAGTCTATCATATTATGCTAACAACTTTGCATTTTTACCAAAAGTAATGTGGGGCCTTGCAGAGATTTTAAATAGGGGGATAAAATCATTAGTGCATTTAAGAACATCATTATTCTCTAGTGGGGAAGATAAATTAGGAGAAAGATTAATGACTTGTAGGAATACTTAGAAATGTGGAAGATCTGAAAACAGGGCCTTGGGAACAAACAAAATATGAATTTGAGAGATAATTAGGAGGGGAAATCAACAGGAACTGACCAGCTGGTTTTGGGTGATGAGGGAGGTTCCAAGTTCCTATTTTAGAAGCATGGTGCATAGTAATGACCCACACTGAGGTGAGGTAGAGGCAAGTTTGCAATAAAGGGAGAGAGTAAATTAATTTTGGACATAGGAGTTTGGGATGCTCACAGGGAAGCCACAGAGATATACTTACTAGGAACTTAAATTAGAGGTCTGAGCTGGTTATAGATTGCTGGCCTTCAGTATATACGTGGTATTTGGTGACTAGGAAGTCAAAAACAAAGTTAAGGATGGACCTTTGTGGAAGGCTGTCATTTAAGGAGTGGGCAGAGGAAGAAGAATTTATAAAAGGCTGAGAAAAAGGGATCAGAGAAACAGAAGTAGAAAAGGCAGAGTCACAGTGTCATATAAACAAAAAGAGGAAAAGAACCAGGAATGGCATGTTCAAAAGTGTCGTACACAGCAAACAAGTCAAGTGAGAGAAACAAAGCAAAGCGACCACTGAATTTTGGTACCTGGGAAATCCATGAGGATCTTGGCTAAGAATTTTCATTGATTAGTAAAAGGCATATTTTAAAATTAACCACTCAAATTTTCTTTAGACTAATGGCAAACAGAATGAAGATAAAGGAGAACGACATTCAAGCAGCCAGGGAAAGTGAACTTCGCCCTTCATTAAAGGAAGGAGAAAGGTAAGCCATGGACAACTTGTTATAATTTTCTTCAACAGTGCTATCCAAAAGAATTTTCTGTGATGATAAAAATGTTTTATATCTGTGCAGTCCAATATGGTAGCCAATAGCCATATGAACTCCTGAGCACTTGAAATGTGGTCAACATGACTGAGGAACTGGATTTTAATTTAATTTAAATTAAATTATAGCTATTAGATACCATATTGGACAGCAGAGAATTCCAACAATTTCCTCATTTGTCCTTTTGAAAAAGGAGATAAAATATCAGCTCAAGTGTGGGTTCTTTTAATTATAAATATGATACTCCAATGAAAGTAAGATTTAAATGGCAAATAATGTAAGTATTCCTCATATATTTCTCTCTACTAAACATTAACTTTTTGCAAACTGTCACCACCGGCACCAACAACATTTAATTAATACTATAGTCTAGGAAAAAATAATATAGGTCTATATTCTTATTCTCTCTATAGACAGACGGACACAGATACACACAAATATTCATATATACATACATACTTTTAAATGTATATCAAAATCTTCATTTAGGTATAATTTACATACAATAAATTCACTCATCTTATGTGTACGTTTATTGAGTTTTGAAACAATTACTGAGTTTTGAAAAATATATTCACTCATACAATCATCACCACAATCAAGATTTCCATCACCAAAATAGTTCCCATATATGGGGTGCATAGTTATGTAAAAGTAAAATGTACAACAACAATAGCACAAAGAATAAGAGAGAGGAACTGGAAGTATACCACTGGAAGGTTCCTATTCTGTACATGAAATAGTATAGTATTATTTGAAAGAGGAATGTGATAAAGACATAACTTGTAAATGCTATGGTAACCACTAAGATTTTTAAAGAGTTATAAATACTAAGCCAGTAGTAAAGATAAAATAGAATTAAAAAGTCAATAAAAAAGCAGGCCCCCCAAAAAAAAAAAAAAAACCCCAGGAAGAAAATAATAAAAATGAGAGCAAAAGGAAAACAATAGCAGCAAAGAATGGATAGGACAATTAGAAAACAGCTAGCAAAATAGTAGTAGATTCAAAACCAACCACACCAATAATTATATTCTATATAAGTGACCTAAATATTCCAGTTAATACTGACAAATTGGCAGAGTGGATATAAAAGCAAGAAATACCAAATACTATCTATAAGAAACCTATTTTAAATATAAATACATAGATTAAAATAAAAAGATAGAAAAAGATATGACATGCTAACACATGACTATATTAATATCAGAACAAGGAATATTGCCAGGGATAAAGAGACATTACATAATAATTAAGGAATTAATTCATCAGGAAGACATAACAATCCTGAGACTGCCCCAAACATCAGAACTTCAAAACACCTGGAGCAAAACCAATGGAGCCGAAAGAATAAACAGACAGATTCATAGTTATAGTTGGAACTTCAAAACTTCTTTCTCAGTAATTGGTAGAACCAGTAAACAAAAAATCAGTAAGAATATAGAAGAAATGAACAACACTATCAGCCACACTATTCTAATTAATATTTATAGAATACTCCACTCCAACAACAAAATATACATCCTTTTCAAGAGTACCTGGTACATTTTCCAAGATGGAACATATTCTAAAGCTTAAAACAATCCTTGACCAATTTAGAATAACTGAAATTACACCAAGAGTGTACTATGAGTAGAAAAAAATTAAATTAAGTATCAATAACACTGATATATGCATTGGCAAATTTAATGACATACTTCTAAATAACCAAGGATGAAAGAGGAAAGTCCCCCAAAAATCAGAAAATATTTTCAAATAAAAGAAAACACAATATATAAAAATTTACTGGTCGTAGTTAACGCAGTATTTAGAGGGAAATTTACGGCATTATATGGTTATGTTAGAAAAGAAGAAAGGTCCCAAATCAGTGATCTGATCTACAACCTTGAGAACAAAAGAGAGCAAATTATAACAAAAGTAATTAGAAAGAAGGAAATAATAAAGGTGAGAGCAAAATAAATATTGAAATAATGAAACAGATCTGTAATAAACTAGAAAAAAAGTAGAAAAAAATAATGAAGAAAAAACTAGTTTTTTTGAGAATACCAATAAAATTGATAAATTTCTAGCCCTGGCCAGTGTGGTTCAGCAGTTAGAGTGTCAGCCCTTGGACCAATGAGTCAAGGGCACCTACCTTGACCGCAGTTGTGCGGGAGGCAACCAGTTGGTGTGTCCCTCCCACTTTGATGTTTCTCTCTCTCTCTTTCTCTCCATCCCTCCCTCCCTCCCTCACACTCTATCTGAAGATAAATCGAAAAAAAAAAATTGATAAACTTCCAGGCAGATTAATCAAGAAAAAACCCCAGCTCAGCCAGTGTGTTTCAGTGGTTGAGCATCAGTCCATGGACCAGGAGGTCACCAGTTCGATTCCCTGTCAGGACATATGCCTGGGTTTCAGAGGTGTGCCTAGTGCAGGGTGTGTGGGAGACGGCCGGGTGATGTTTCTCTCTCATTGATGTTTCTATCTCTCTCTCCCTCTCTCTCTAAAAAATCAATAAGAACACATTAAAAAAAGAAAAACACACACAAATTACCAATAATGGTATTGAAAAGGGGGTCATCAATTCATTAGGAAGACATAACAACCCTACAGACATTTAAAAGAGAATACTGTGAACAATTTATGCCAATGAATATGGAAATTTAGATGATATAGACACATTCATTGAAAGACACAAATTCCAAAGTTTACCCAAGAAGACATAAATAAGCTTAACATCCCTATATCTATTAGAGAAACTGAATTTGTATTTAAAAACCTTCACACAAGGAAAACTCAAAGCCCAGATGGTTTTATTGGCAAATTATAGCTAACACTTAAAGAACTTCTACACAAATTCGTCCAGAAAATAGAGGGGAAGGGAAGACTCCTGATACCAAAACCAGACAGACATTACAAGAAAAGAAATACACAGACATGAACATAAATGTAAAAGTTCCTTTAAAAAATTAATAAATCAAATCCAATGATATGTAAGAAGGATAACATACTATGATGCTGGTTGGAAAGGACAGGTCTAATCCCATTTTAGAGGCTAACTGGAGGCTTATCCTGCGGGCTGCCCTATTTATGAAAGCCTTCTACTCCTTCCACCCTCAGGAGAACCATTCCAGATCACTTTCTCTGAAATGTCCTCCATCTTCCTTATTTCTGCTCTGAAACTTCTGCCAGCAGGGATCTCCCAAATAGGGCACTTAAAATTTGGGGGGTACGAGGGAGAGGCCCAAATACCCCCTTACACAGGCTGTCACAGAGTATAGTAAAAGCCGGAAAGCTTTGAAAAATGCTTGCTTCCTTAATCCCACCCTCTTTAAGTGTCTTCTTCTGGGATCTAGACTCTGCCAAGACCCTAATTATCCTATCCTTCTGCCCCAACACTCAAGATATGTATTTAAAGTGAGCAACTGATAATATAATTAAATAAATAAAAAACCAGTACTAATTTGTGTGGCATAGAAGTGCTCGTCCTTATTTTTCACTTTTCCCATTCTCTCT